AATGAAAATTATATAAATGAAATTCCAAATGAAAATTATATAAATGAAACTCCAATATGAAAATTTCAAAGTCTACAGCCTCTAAGATGCAAAGTCTCCGAGCCACAAAACCTAAAACTTAAACGTTCTAAAATATAATGATTGATATAACAAATGTAATTCATACAGTACATGAAAATAAAGAATAATGCAGGTGAAGAATAACGCAAAGAGCAAACGATTAAAATGGCAAGTATGCGAGTACGTGATGCCGGTCGTCGAACGACTAGCGGCGATGTGAAAAGACGCAGCACGTATGGAATGTTATAACACGTTATCGGAAGCCGGTAGAAGATAATCAGAAATTGGAATAAATCGCGGGTAAAGCACACCGATAAATGGTGGAAAAGGTACAACGTTCGGGTAATCTGTCGCGTTTGTCGCGACAATGCAATTACGCAATGCTGTCATGCTTAATTACCATCGCGTAACTTTGCCGTTTCCGTCACTTCGTTCGATCTGAATTATTCATTTTTACATCGTGGAATGCTGCTTCACTTTTCAGACACTTTGCTTCACATTTTCATCGAATACAGTAGTTTGATTCCAATCACCTTTTGGGAGATTTTGTAGGCGATGCTGTAAATCTTTTGGAAAGTTTTGGAGGTCCTTGAAGATCCAAACTTGTTCGAACGTTTTGCGTGTAGGTCCTTGTATTTCTTCTCAGCATTATTGTACAGACACCTAATTGTTATATGTTACTATTTTGTTATTCTCTTATTAAAATATATATTGTTGTTTGTTAACCAGTGTCATATTTACGTACATTAAAATACCAAAAGTCTGCAGGTGACTATCCTCGCAAGGAAATAAACACATATGTCACAAAACCAGTTTTTTCCATCCTTTCTCCTTGATCCCATGCCTCTACGAAAAAAACAAATGAATGTAAATGGCCAATTAAATCTAATTTTATTAGTAATAAGTGCTAATTTTATTACTATGTTTACTTTTATGTTCCACGATGTTAATGTCGATCGTCACCACCGTTTACGATTTTATAATCAATCTTGTTTGTTACAGCGATCTAAATTAGATCCTTGTTTCTAAGACAAAAGTAACTATCGCTTTTTTAATCATTATTCTAAAGACGCTTACGTATGCATCATTATAATTACATAAGACCTTATCAACTTTATAAATATCGCGTGGCAAACGTATCTCGTCGATCGGTTACTGCAGGATTCCTCTTTTTAAGTATCGTGACAAGATTTCAAATTCTGTCGCTAAGTGATCCTGATGTTACACAATATACAGATGAGATCAGAGCGATTACGTTGCTATATACTTTGAGCACGCAGCAAACTGAATTCCTTTTGAATCGAAAGCGAAGCTTATAATTCTTATAAATGTATCTCCTAATTTACTGATTAAAGTTTAGAGACATTTACATAAATAATCCAGTCTCTAAACTTTAAATCTAAAATCGGACCTCGATTTCTCTTTGAATTCAAATGTTTCTCAATTTCAAGTTTTCTTACTTCCATATTTCTACACGCCAAAAATTTTGTAAATATCTCACGAAGAAGAATAATGGATTTTAATTTACACTTTTGTGAAGAGTTACACGTGCGGTATTCAGTAGTATCTTTAGCGTGTTCAACATAAAATAAGAATATATTTGACAGGTCTTTTTCCATTTTTGTTTTCTTAGCGAGAAGAAGAAAAAAGCATGCAGCGGTGACGCAACAGCAGTTAAAATATGCTTGATGGTCGGTGCCATTCTTAATACCTGACTGGGAACGCTCACTCTTATTACTTACGAACATTTGCATACGATCGATTACTTTCCCGGCGACAACATGATGCTAATCAAGAGCTTCTTCCGGAGGATCATCAAAGACTTCCGGCATAAGGAGTTGCTCCCTCTTAAAATGATATTCTTCGTTCAAGCGTCCAGTAAGTATTATATTCTATTTCCTGCAAATAGAATAAGGCCAGTAAATACTAGTTATCTACATATAACGAGTAAATTTAATAAAAAATAATTATTTACGAGTAAATTTAATAAAAAATACAGCGAATTTCAAGGAAGTCTTCGTAATAATTGGCAGAATAATATTATGGAAATGAAAGAACTTCTCGTTCGTTCAAAAGTCAGAATTAAAAATATCGTATAATAACATCGAAGATTTACGCGAGGCACCGAAGTGTGTCAATTTCGAAGCGATTGCTTCACCTTTCCAATTCGACGAGTAAATCAACTTCGCAGATTGTGTACAAATGTAAATTTACTTTTCGACATTAATATTTATACCGACATTTATCTCGTTCCGTAGTTTTCCGTAGTAACATAACGGAACGATAATGCTTTTTTTTATAAATTTCCTTTGGTGAGTGTAGATGTTCTAATTTCGTTTTCAGCGCTCTATGTACTTTACCCGTATCTGACTATCCACATGAGGGAGCTCGGTATAAACGTGGAGGAGACCGCTATAATGAGCGCCATAACTCCGGTGATCGCTATGGTGATGCCACCCCTTGCAGGGATGTTCGCCGATCGTGTGGGCAATTTCAAAGTAAATCCACCGTGTTCTAATATTCATTTGCTATCGATTTTCTACGATAGGTGTTTGCCAAATCTTAGGGCTCTCGATGCTTTATATTTTGAAACTTCTCTTTCTTTCAGTCTTTGAGACTTTAACCCCTTGCCGTACTTTGACGAGTCTCACTCGTGACGCACTCACAACTCAAATGTAATTACTGTTACTCAAATTTTGAATACTCTTCAACTTGAAGTTTAGATCCAACTATAATTTGCGTTGTCAAGGATCCCTGAATATAAAATACTTAGAACATTTTAATTTTCTCTGTTCGTTTTAATGTTATAGTCCTGAATGGTTAGTCTTGACTGACGCACCTCGTAAATAAATGACACGGCAACGGGTTAAGACTCTGAGAGACTTTGAGAGCTTTAACTCTTTCCTCTCTCATCGACATCACATTTCTTAGATCCTAAAATTCAGATAAATAAATTAGTTGAATGTACATATTTACAATAAGTGTACAATAAGTATTTACATAACTATTTACAGTAAGTGAAATTATTAGTCACATCCTCCCACTGTTGCAATACATTTAACACTAAAACTACCAAGCCGGTCAAATGACCGCTCCACAAGTTTCTTATTAAAAGGTATACATTATGCTGAAGTACATTTCTTGAAATCAGAATTGATTTTCATCAAGATAAAGAATAAATGTGTGTACTAATTTATGTTTCATCGTTTGTTTATTTAATTTTTAACTTCATTTTTAATTTCAAATTAAGTACGCATTGTATGCCGGTAGGTTTAGTGTTAACTCATTTGAAGTGCAAAGAGTTAGATCTTAAACATCCAAAGAACGTTTTAAGAAGAAGATTAAGAATGAAATACCACTAGAGAATGTTTTAGCAATTTCTGTTTTCGTTCAGATACTACTGTCCCTGTTCTCGTCGTTCGGCGGAGTCGCAGCACTTCTGTTGCTGCTCGTCCCGATCGGCAGGATAACCGTACAGTTTCCTGACAGAGTCGTCATGGACCTCGGTTGCACAGGGAACAACGGGCTGCTTTACACCATGAGTCAAAACCATCCTTGCGACACCAAACTGCAAGGAGACATCGCCACGAGGATCGAGAGTTGCGGGTAGGTAAGGATTAATCGATTCATCCTGATTCGAGTGAGTCTTATCTGATCCATTTATTTTCGTTCGGTTGCAAATATCACCGGAATTGTTTATGATTGTCGTGGTGGATCTGAGTACGAGTTGAAGAAATTGTCTTTTATAGTTACTCGTGTCGATTCGATATTCATAACGACACCGATGCGAAGGCGGTTTTGTCGTCGAGGATGTACACCATCAGGCGATTCAATCTGGAGACTGGCGCGAACTCGTCGTTCAAGTTTTCGATCGCTCAAAGCGATATGCCACCTGTAAGTCGACGTACAAAATAAAATTACTTTCATATCGCAATCTAATACTCTATCGAAAAACAATGGCTCCATTATTTTATTAAATGTAATTTAATTTTTGTAGAAGAAAAGTTTAAAATTTCTTTAGCGACAGAAAATGAATTCAACTCTTTTTTGGCAAGTAACTGTTTCAACAGAAATAGTTCAGAAATGTCCTAACAAAATTAGTTGCTTTATTATGAGAGAAGGTGTGTAATTTATTTGGGTGTAAATGCTAGAGTAAGTAATGCAATTTTTATAGGAGAAGGAGGAAGATATCAAAGAACACCGGAAGCTGAAGAATAACGAGTACTTCAAGACCTCGATTCGGCAATTGTCTCGCAACGAGTACTTCTTCCCATCGAACCAGTTGTACGAATTTGCTTGCACGGTGTCGGGATTCATCGAGGACTTTGAAACACCGACCTCGAACAGTGCCATGTCGAACAGGATCTACGAGAATCGAACCCTTTGTGCCTTCAATCCTATTATACACAAGGTATACCTCCAAACTAGCATCTGAAAGTGCTCAATTACTCGAAACCAAACTTAAGCTAATGCAGACTTAAACCTACTTTGCAGGACGACGTCAGTCGAGTCAATTACTACTCGTACAAATCGAAGCTGAAGAGCCTCGAAGCAACCGAAGAAGATCGAAGCTCGAAGAAACAAAGATATCTCTCTGAACAAATAGCCTGGACAGGAGGAAAGTTTCAGAACATCACCTGTGGAAACCCAGATCTAGAAACCGAGAAGATCATGCTGGATTTACCGTTGTTTAATTATTCTGTCAGCTTGGAGCCTTACAAGACTCTGAACACGGAGGATTGCAGGAAAAGGTGCATCGTCACCGCGCCTCGCAAGGACATGTGCTCGAACATGAATACGGTACTCGAGTACAACGTTGGCTTGACTTTCTGGATGTATTTCGCCATCAGGGTATTCATCGGTTAGTACTTAACCGGATTATTTATAGAATAGTTACTATCGGGGAGACTTTGCAGGTGTTATCGGTGGCACGACGTTCGCGATGTTCGAGGGTGCAGTGATCGCGATATTACGCGAGCAGAAAGCTGATTATGGGCTTCAAAGGATTTATGGCAGCATCGGTGGCATGATATCATCGCCGCTCTCTGGACTTCTCATTGATTATGCAAGCACTGGCAAAGGCTATACCGATTTCAGGTAAAAATCATCCTTTCATTCTACCGATTATAAAATCGGTAATTCGTATTTTCAACCGCGAAATTAAATTATTGAATCACTTCTATTAGCATATTCGAATATCGCGATGCACCGAATACGTGTTGCAGGCCAGCATTTTATTTGTACGCTGCTTTGAAACTGATGTCTGGGTTGCTGATGCTCGCTATCAATTTGGAATTCAAATCGCCGGCTACCAACGTAATTAGCGACGTTTTTACGGTTTTGAGGAACATCGAGGCCGTTGCACTTTTCATCGCCTGTTTCATTCTTGGTGAGTTTTCCAATCTTTTTATTTCTCGACCATCGTATAATTCTTTCAGCCATCCTGTAAATATATATAAAATATGAAACGAACGTGAATGTATACGAATGCAAAAATAAATTACGAACAAATAATTAATTAAAAATCTTAAATGACAAGATCGAAATATACATTTGATTATTTAAAGAACTCCAATGTCGATCTACGCAAGGTAACAGACGTTTTGTTCGATTTTGACAGGAACTGCTTGGGGATACATCGAATCGTTCCTCTTTTGGTTGATACAAGATTTAGGAGGATCACGATCGCTCATGGGTATCACCATAACCGTAGGCGGTATAGCTGGTATACCATTACTGGTACTATCTGGTCCAATCATATCAAAGATCGGCCACGCCAATGTACTTTTTATAGGCTTTGTTTTTTATGCCATAAGACTTTGCGGTGAGTACCCGTACTTAATTCTTCGTCCACTGTACTCGAACGTATAATAGCCTCATAAGCTGTATAATTCGGCAACGCATACATAATGAATACCAAATAAATTCCGACTATTTTCTTCGTATACAAACAAAAATTATTATAGAATTCTTTATATTTGAGCCTCTCGTGATTTCTAGCTACCTGGATGAGTGGGTAATTATTAGATAAGGTTGAGTCAGATTAAATTTAAGTCAAGTTAGTTTAGTCAGCTAAATGCAGTTAATGATAGCTTGCATCAATTACGAGTAGGTAATCTTATCTAGAGATAAGAGTAGGTAATCTTTCGGTCAATTTGCAGGTTACTCTTTAATATACAATCCATGGCATACCCTGATCTTCGAGGCTCTAGAATCGGTAACATTGTCGCTTAGTTTCACCGCTGCTGTCACTTACGCGGCTAAGTTGTCTACCACCACCACCGACAGCTCGATACAAGGATTATTAGGTGGAGTTTACTACGGAGTTGGTGAGTATTTTTCCTTAACATTGGACTGTCATAATATCGTTCTTTGTTAACACTAAAACTACCAAGCCGGTCAAATGACCGCTCCACAAGTTTCTTATTAAAAGGTATACATTTTGTTGAAGTACATTTCTTGAAATCAGAATTGATTTTCATCAAGATAAAGAATAAATGTGTGTACTAATTTATGTTTCATCGTTTGTTTATTTAATTTTTAACTTCATTCTTAATTTCAAATTAAGTACGCTTTGTATGCCGGTAGGTTTAGTGTTAAGTAAAGAATTTTGATTTGTAGGCAAGGGTTCTGGGAGCTTGATAGGCGGCTACCTGATGAAAGCCTTCGGCACAAGGCCCACCTACAGAATCTTCGCTGTGATGACACTGATCACCGGCATAATGTACTACATCTTTAACGTCGCGTACTTGAAGAAGCGACCGCAGGTCGAGGGTAACGATATCGTGAAGAAGAAGCCGAAAAAGGTGGAGAACCAGAACGGCCTCGAGAGCGGAATCATCGAGATAGCGCTGGAAGAGAAGAAGCAGCGCGAGAACGACGACAAGAAGAACGAATCGAATATCGTAACCGGAGTAGACAATCAAGCCTTCTCCAACGAACAGGACAACGTGAAATCTTCCAAGGACGAAGAGAACAAAAGGGTGAGCGATATAGAGGCTGTCAATAACGCGAAGAACCTTGACAAGATCGAAAAAGTACCTGCGGAAGAGAGCAAGAAAAAGTTGGGGGCGAAAAGGCTGAAGAACACGCAAATCGACGAACGAGAGAGAACGAAAGAGTGCTCGAAACAAAATGGCACGACGAATCCGAGCTTCGAGAGCGATAATCAAGATCGATGTAACGTCACTGTCGAGAGGCAACCGGAAGAGAAGAAATGAACATGTTCCTTCACCGATCTCTTCTCCTCTTCGTGCAGAGGCACAAAATATTTATCACTGAATTTCATCGGATGTAAAAACGATGTACATCTACGTAATCTTAATTAGGAGGAAGTTAGACTTTCCCTAAGATCGCCACCTACAATTCGAAGCTCCCCATAGACTCTCTAGTCTCCCTTAGAATTTCCCTACAGTTCACGTAGGACTATGTTCTCTATACTTAATTTCAAATTAAGTACGCTTTGTATGCCGGTAGGTTTAGTGTTAAGTAAAGAATTTTGATTTGTAGGCAAGGGTTCTGGGAGCTTGATAGGCGGCTACCTGATGAAAGCCTTCGGCACAAGGCCCACCTACAGAATCTTCGCTGTGATGACACTGATCACCGGCATAATGTACTACATCTTTAACGTCGCGTACTTGAAGAAGCGACCGCAGGTCGAGGGTAACGATATCGTGAAGAAGAAGCCGAAAAAGGTGGAGAACCAGAACGGCCTCGAGAGCGGAATCATCGAGATAGCGCTGGAAGAGAAGAAGCAGCGCGAGAACGACGACAAGAAGAACGAATCGAATATCGTAACCGGAGTAGACAATCAAGCCTTCTCCAACGAACAGGACAACGTGAAATCTTCCAAGGACGAAGAGAACAAAAGGGTGAGCGATATAGAGGCTGTCAATAACGCGAAGAACCTTGACAAGATCGAAAAAGTACCTGCGGAAGAGAGCAAGAAAAAGTTGGGGGCGAAAAGGCTGAAGAACACGCAAATCGACGAACGAGAGAGAACGAAAGAGTGCTCGAAACAAAATGGCACGACGAATCCGAGCTTCGAGAGCGATAATCAAGATCGATGTAACGTCACTGTCGAGAGGCAACCGGAAGAGAAGAAATGAACATGTTCCTTCACCGATCTCTTCTCCTCTTCGTGCAGAGGCACAAAATATTTATCACTGAATTTCATCGGATGTAAAAACGATGTACATCTACGTAATCTTAATTAGGAGGAAGTTAGACTTTCCCTAAGATCGCCACCTACAATTCGAAGCTCCCCATAGACTCTCTAGTCTCCCTTAGAATTTCCCTACAGTTCACGTAGGACTATGTTCTCTATAGTTCTTCCTAAGATAGCCTTCTTCCAAATTCTATCACTTCAAGGGCTTCCTTTGATTTCGAGAATTCCTCTAGACACTATTCGAATCACGAGAAATCATTCAGGACTACTGAATCGTGCATGTACTTCACCATGTTAAATATCGAACGATATTGTACATTCTTTTATAATTAGTATTCAAAAAGGAACGCGCGGATATGTTTTAGCTTAAGGAAAGAATCAGATCACTATTTTATACATCTTTTATCGTAGTTTAGAGTACACGTAGACGTTAGAGCCACCTTAGTAAGTGTTTTAACATATGTTTGTTGTTGTTACTTGAACGTTATATATAGTTTCTGAACAGATAAAAATAATTGTTCGAGTAGTCGACGATGTCGAGACTTTTGTCGAAACGAAGCAAACTTTCAAACGAGGAGTGTATATTAGATTTATAATTTATTCGCACGAAATTAGTGTGCGACTGCTCGACAATTGTTTGTAAATCAACATTGTACAATTGACGTGTAAAAAGTTACGATTCTTAAAGCTCTCGTAATTATTAGAAGTTTTCCAGTGTAACAATCTCGCTTTTATACTTTACAACTTACTAAATCGAATAAAAGCGAGAATTTTTTCGTAAGTAAAATACGTTTTTATAAACGACTTACACTCGAACACTTCTGATTTATTTTTAATATTCGCTATTATCGTTAACTTCATAGGCTAATTGTCGAAGCGCCGTTGAAATGTTTATCGTTTCGCAAAATTGTATACCTCGCTATTATCAATACGGATCATACTACTATGTTACGATAATACTTCCATTAAAAAAATGATAAAATCATTTTCTACGATTTTGTACAAAAGATCAACGCCAGAAAAAAATAATAAGAACCGAGCAAATAGATATTACGTAGGAGCACGTTAAACGATAAGAAGTTAATTATGTTTCTGCGAAGGAACAATGTGATAATAATTATGCAGGAAGTAGCGCCTAATTGCGAGTTCTATAATGTACAGGATATGTATCGTTTACGAACATCGTTTTCGCGACAATATCTGCTATAGAAAATAAAAGATACAAATGAAAAATCTTTTCTTTCATTCTGCTTTCTTAATTGTCCAAATATATTGATATCTAATTTGTGACTTTTGTTCCAATTTGCAAGTTGGAAATAAAATTTACAAATTCCCTAATTTTTCGTTACTTTTTCAATTCCCAAATCCACAAGTTCCAAATTGTTTCAAGACTTCCAAATTCAAATTGCTGAAAAGTCAAATTTCCAAAATAATAAACTTTCTTCGATGACAGATTAACAACCTCTGGCATCCATCTCAACCGCCGAGGAATTCCCGTAACGGTGTGTTATAATTTGCGAAACGGATTAGAACGATTTTGTCAAGTCTCGTTTCCGTCTGATTAGCACGTCATCCTCGCAGAACATATTTTGTCCAACTGCGTTCTCTTCGACGTTCACCAAAAAACGACAAATCTGCAAAAAATTGAACATGACTGAAGTTATCAATTCTAATAGAAACTCTCTATAAAAAATTGGCAAAAGAAATTTGAAGTTACAGAAGAAATTTTTATGTGGTAGATTAAACATCGCGAGTGTTAAGGTTTGAAGAATTGGGCAATATATTTGCATCGTTAGCATCGAAGAGGTACAGTTACGAGTCTATATAGAAGACCCGGTGTGAAGATCTTCAATCATTCATCTTTGACTATCGGTTAAGATGATACGTGCATTGATTTCCTTGCTTTTAGCGAGTATACCGATTCTGCCGTCAGTGATGTCGTACGCGAAAGTGTCCAGAAACGGTCAGGAAGAATCGGATAACGATGACTCGAATCCTTGGATCGTCAGGTTAGATCGTTAACCCGAGGAAAGTTCGCTTTCACGTTTATTCGTCATGTTAACTTATCACTGTGTTTTTTCATGAAGCAACGTCACTCAGAACGAAGGCAGGAGCATCAAGAACATCGCCATCACTATGGCGCCGGTGTACATTCCACCGAAAATCCCTATTCTACACAATGGCGAGACGTCCAATTATTCTCCTAGTGCAAGGTAGATACTTTTACTTTTTAAGTCTTCGAATCTCTCGATTTTCAAGATTACACAATTTCGAACCTCTTAATTTTTAAATTTATAAATATTTTATCTTCCAAGTTTTATAATTTTAGTGTTCCTCAAGTTTCATAATTTCAATGTTCCTCAAGTTTCATAATTTCAGTGTTCCCCAAGTTTCATAATTTCAGTGTACCTCAATTTCTAAATTTCAAAGTTTCAAAAATGACAAAGATGTTAAACTACCTAACTTGGGTAATTTCATAGTTCTAGATACTCCACGCTGGATCACGAAATGCTAGCAAAACTGAGCGGCAAGAAGCAGATTCAAGACAGATACCACCCAGGTCCTCTTAAAAATAAGGAAGTTCCAAAGGATACGAAAGAAAGTTCAAAACCGAGTCGACCAAGCGGACCTCCTAGTATTCCGACTGGACCTGTGGATAGCTTCGATTTCTCGAATCCGTCGTTTTCCGACACTTACGAGTATAAACCACCCGATTACCTCTCTAGTAAGCCGATCGCGAAGCCACCGGATTATCTCGCCGATAAACCCATCTCGAAACCCATATCAATGGGCGATTATGCGGATTCCGAGATAAGTGACACGGTAAATTTCTTCTTATTATTCTAGTATATATCTGGCTCACATAGCTCACACCGTTGCAATACACTTCATTGAGCATCCCTTGATCTACCCTGTAAATTAAGAAATTGATAGTCAACAGAAAAAAAGAGAGTTTGGAAAATCGCCTATAACTAAAGATCACTAATCGAAATTTCCACTTTCAGCCTCCAGACTCGTACAAGCCAGATTCGTACAAACCACCAGATTCCTACAAGCCAGACTCGTACAAGCCAGACTCGTACATGATGCCCTCCGACTCCGATTACCCCGATTTCCCGGACGACGGATCTTACGACAGCGACTCGGGACCGAAGCCTATGAAGCATTCTCTGGATCATCCTCCTTTCGAGAACGACGACGATGCCTATGCTCACCATCACGACTTCCATCACGAGCTGATTTACGACCACATTCCGGAGTACCACGATCACACCGAGCAACCAGAAATGAACGATCAGAGGCTGGACAAGAGGCCGTACTCTTATTACTTCATAGGCAAGAAGCTTTGGTACGTGCCTTTGTACTTCAGCATCTACTTCATCATCTACATCGCGGCTCTGGTGCTGAAGAGTATAGCGAGACACAAGATCACATTCCCTGCTCATTTGGCCGAAGCCGTAGGACACGACAGGTCTTACGGTGACTTCAGTTGGTGGGATTATGCGGGGAACATCCTCGAGGGTGTAGAAAGCTTTGCGGAAAAGTATGGAAGGTTCTCTTAGATTCCTGTGATCGTGTTCCTTTGAGATTTTCCTTTCGTGAACTGTCATATTTAGCATGTAAATATCATAGTTTTGTACATATTCAAGTCCTAGTTACCAACGCTCGATGTATTTATTTCAACCACCTAGAAATAAGAAATAATTATCGCATGTTGTAATATAATCGTTGCAATGTTAGCTTAATATTGTAACTAGTTTGACAGCATAGGTAAAAATACTATGATACAATAGTTAAATAGCTTAATTAAACTTAATATGTTTAGTGCCACATGGGTTCACGCTTACTCTAAACATGCATTTATAATTCCAAATTAACAGCTTTTGTTTCTAATTTAATTTCCCATGATGTCCATGTGGCACAGAACAAAAATACGAATGAATTTCATAAAAATAAGTCGATGTAAGTTCCAACATGAAGCTCTGTAAACCCCTAACAATCCACATACTTATTCGCGGATTACTATATCGCGTATCTCGGAAATAAACGTTTGAACGATAAATGTACGAGCAATTTCTTTGGTAGTCGTATCCCTTCTAAAAGCCATCTCGGAGCCATTGGCACACGCTCGTTTCCCAAATTCTTGTGAAACAGGCGTGCTCGAGGATGGCCGCTTCTTCTACAGGCGCACCAGGAGTCGTGGTACAACTTTTTGACGGTATAACGAGTCGGAATTTGTCAGTATCGGCAGAATCGAAAGAATTACTGGAAACGACACGAGAATTCCGATGCCCTCGCATTCCGATTGACCAATTACGCTGGCCATGCTCCATCTTGTCGTACCTGATTTCTTTTCACGTATTGTTCCGCGATTTTTGTCGCCGCACCGTGAATACAAACTGTCCCTTTATATCGCGCAATCTACCGAAGTTGACCATCCCATCGAGAACACTTTCGACGTGCCAAATTTTTCTCAATACAGCAATTAGATAGTTTCGAGAATATTGGACACTTCGGGAATATAAAGTTTTGGTAATATAAAGAATATGAGGAATTTAGGTCTTTGAAGATTTAAAAATCGAAGAAAATTTTCGAAGAAAAGACAAGTAAATTTAAAACTTAGAAAAATAGTCTCCCGATTATGTTAAACATTAGCTACGAACGTGACGATTTAGAACAGCTATAATTTTCACGTAGCACGCCTTTCGTCTCCTAAACGTTATACGATAACGAATATAATTACATATAGTGTTACATACATACATCCTGCAATTTTATACGCATGCTTTGAAATGAAGTTCAAAAAATCTGAATGTGTCCGATTTCCGCAGCGAGACGTTGCAAACGAGAAAATGAAGCACCACACCCATTTCTAACTGAACTAGCATCAAACCGAAGCAGCATCTGTCGCAATTATCGTCGGTTTAGAGTATTGTTTCAACGGGACTTGCTCAAGAACTTGCTAATCGTCTGACCTAATATCGTACGAGGATGTACTTCGCCTAACTGACCTGAACTTCAACTTCTGTTTCCTTTGCCTAGATACGATCCATCAAAAATTCCATCCTTCCGGAGAAAACTTTCCGATTGAACGCTTGCACCATTTTACGGTTAGACGTTCGTATATTAATCGTTCAAATTGGCTGAAACGAAATTGTGCCCCCTTTCTTTTACCGGAAAATTAACACGATGCTTCGAATTTTATTGCGCGAATGGTACTGCAAACAGAAGTAATTTTCTAATTGAGGTAAATAAAATAGGGACACCTTTTCACATCTACAAATTTTAACATTCATAAATGAAAACTTTGCAGAAGCTGTGTATAAATTAAATAGATAAAATAGAGACACCTTTTCACATCTACAAATTTTGAGATTCATAAATGAAAACTTTGTAGAAGCTGTGCATAAATTAAATAGATAAAATAGAGACACCTTTTCACATCTACAAATTTTAAGATTCATAAATGAAAACTTTTTAGGAGCTGTGCATAAATTAAATAGATAAAATAGAGACACCTTTCACATCTACAAATTTTAAGATTCATAAATGAAAACTTTGTAGAAGTTGTGCATAAATTAAGTAGATAAAATAGAGACACCTTTTCACATCTACAAATTTTAAGATTCATAAATGAAAACTTTGTAGAAGTTGTGCATAAATTAAGTAGATAAAATAGAGACACCTTTTCACATCTACAAATTTTAAGATTCATAAATGAAAACTTTGTAGAAGCTGTGCATAAATTAAATAGATAAAATAGAGACACCTTTCCACATCTTCAAATTTTAAGATTCATAAATGAAAACTTTGTAGAAGCTGTGCATAAATTAAATAGATAAAATAGAGACACCTTTTCACATCTACAAATTTTGAGATTCATAAATGAAAACTTTGTAGAAGCTGTGCATAAATTAAGTAGATAAAATAGAGACACCTTTCCACATCTACAAATTTGAACATTCATACATGAAACATTTGAAGAAGTTCATAAATTTCTGAATTAAATATTCAAATACATAGAACAATATATTCACGAGATCTATTAAACCTATCCAATTATTTCAAAATACTCAAAAGCTCTCTATAAGTCTCCTAACAGGTATCACCTCCTCATGAAAATTAATAAAACAATCCTTTCTAGCAGACTTTTCATTCCTTCACCTACTGCTCCAAATGAATAAATTTTTCCACAGTGTCCTAAATCTGATTTTGCTTTTCCAATAATCCACAGTGCCCTGAAATCGATAGCAACGTGTAATATTAATAAGATCAATTGGAAGAAATTATCAGATCAAAATCTCGACCTCCTAACTGCAACATTAAACAAAGTGATTTGTCTAGACACTCGATAACGAGGTATATCCGATCTAGAATGGAGGATCATAACCGAATTTCTGGCTCGATATTTTCGTAGACGAGGCTGCGATACGTAAGAGTCGTAACAATTAGGGCTTTTAGCGCTGCAGGTAGGATTTGCTTAACGTTTCTGGTGATACAGTTACCGGTAAGCGAACAGAGTATGTTTGAACTGGACCCACGAATCGTTCAGTTGCTCTTTGGATTTTATCGACGACTGTTCTCTTCCCGAATCGTTTTCGATCCAAACAGAGTTCCTCCGATAAACTTTCTGAGTAGATGAAGCATCGAGGTTAATTTCCTGTGGAAGTTCGCGTCGAACGGTGAATCTCGTCGTTTCCATGAATCGGTGAAACGTCAACAAGTGCTGGACACGTGTTCACGAATGAGAGGAATAAAAATTGTGTCTCGCCAACTGGAGGATCCTTTCAAGTGTACGGAGTAGAAGAAGAAAGAAAATTATGGGTAATTGCTCTTTCGTTTTATCTAATGCTCTCTGTAACTGGCTTCTTATTTATGTGCTAAAATATCTTACGTATTATTTTGTATACGGTTAAAAGACTAAAAGAGACAAGAAGTTACACAATCGGTGGATCATGTACTTACTTCGATGAAGCTTTTCCTGCCGAACGAAGAATATTTCAGCATTAAACTTCCTATTAGTTTCATTTCGTTTCAATATTTTAGATGGAACACCGAAGTTAATCTGTCATAGTCTTCTGCTTCTTCTTTGCATTTCCCACATCTCGACCATGGACTCCGAATTCGAGGAAAGCAATTCATTCTCGGAACCTGACGATTCTGAAATTGTCACAGCCCTGCAAACATACAGGTAAGCTTTAGAAATTATTTTAATAACATTAATAATGAAGTTCAACTATGTGCTAAATTATTAAGTGATTATTCTTGTCAATTACTAGACATCCAAGGATGTATCGACGCGGCTACTATGACGATCACGATTCGATGGATCAAGACGAGCATCATGATCACGAAGAAGACAACGCTATGAAGAGCATGTCGAAGTCGAAGGTCGACTACTGGGGTGGTTACTACGACTTCTTGATAAACGAGGGAAGTTATAAATTCTGGGCGGTGTTTCAAGTAAGTAAAAATTTAAAAAAATTACCTCTTGAATCGACCAGAGTTCGATAGTTGTACTTTTTAATTTCTTAACAGCTAGCTACGGCAGCTCTGCTCATATACAGCGGTTTCGCCGCGCTTTATTACGCCAAAGTCAATCCTCCAACCACGGACGACGAATTCGACGATATTCTGCGTCGAAGAAGACGCAGGGAACTGTCTATTTTTCCACAAGACAGGACTTTCTGCGGACTGGACAGTGCCACGTTTCAAAGGATAATCGACGCTGTCGCCAGAGAAATTCACTGATAGAAATTAATAATTTGAGATTAGTCAAAATTTCTACAAGTTCGATATTGTACTCATGTATAATATTTTTGTCTCGTGGACTTGCATCGTTCTATAGACGTTCTTTTATAGATTTGCATACTGAACATTAATCTGCAGACTGTAATTGCTTAAACACGTATAAATATGTAGAACGAAGTAACACTTGTGTTACATAGAAGATCTGTTATAAAATGTGTATTCATTTCGAAACTTAGATTCCTTTAAAGTGTTGCAGATTTACGTTCAGATAATTAAGTTTAGACAATCATACTGTAACTTGTACATACGGAATAATTATTATACATTAGTACACAATATAGTATAAATTATTCGTTAATAGATTCGACATCTCAACACTTTCACTGCCACTTCTATGAAACTCATGAATTTTTACATAAGTCACATATGTTGCATTACAAATTATAAACAGTTTCTTAAGAAAAATCGTAAGAAAGATTAACAAAAAATAAAATTGGTAAATGATTGAATTTTTTATAAATTGATTATGGGGCGGCAGTAAAAGTGTTAAGGGAATAAGAGGAGTAATAGTTGTAAATATGTAAGGAGAAGAAAAATCGGGGTTCGAAGGTAGATACGGTCCTGGTGTTCCGAAAAGGTGCTCGAGGGCCGCTCGTTACGTAGCGCTGTTCGACAAGAAAATTTGCCTTCGAGCTTGAACCGCGCATATCGCGCATACGTATTCGCATATAAAATTCGTACAGACAGCCGCGCGTATGTAAGCGACCACGTAGCCACCGCTGATTTATCGGTCGACATTTTTTCGAGAGATTTTTATTACGTTTTGATCCCTTCGCGCATACATTTTGGTAGCATCTGCTGCCACGAGGAGATCCAGCCAACAACGCGACACACGAAATCACCGCTCAAATCTACCGCGGGCTCGTCGCTTTTTCCCACAAATTCTTTAACGAGCTTCGATGTATACGGCAAAAAGGTACAAGATGTAGCAAGAATTCGCGTATATATTACCGGACGGTCGTCGTTTTCAAATACAAATCACTTTGAAAATTTTACGATTTGTCACTTCGAAATTTCTCGATGGAAGAGTTTCATAATTTCAGTCTCTGTTGTTAAAAATTCTCTGTATAAAAATACTTGCAAAAAGTATTTTTATCTATACAATTATTATGGGTATAATTTTAATTACGAACACTCTATGATTCGAATGTTTTCATCTCCTATGCACGTGCAAATACAAAGAGAAAAGATATGTAACCCAATAAAATACCGACTGAACCTATCCTCAAGCCCAAACTCTGAATAATAAAATGTAACTATCTATAAGCGACACGATTAGGTATCGATATAATAATACTATCGTTTTGTTAAATTTTAATGTTACAATTCTACAACATTTAGTTCTATAAAATCATATTTGAGGGGTAATTGATCAAAGTTATGAGTGGTACACACTCGGTAGCACTATTCGGAATCGTTCAGGTAAATGTACAGAGAAAAAAGTAGTAGATATACGAAGAAACGGAAGAGCATCTCGAAGAGCGACTAAAAGACAGGAAAGTTTTTCTTGCAGCCAGTGGAGGAATACGTTGATCGAGAGGGTCACCGAACCCCTTCCTCCCGTCCGACCAAGCAATTATAAATTGAGTTATATTTCTTGCGCGCAACCGTGAATAAATTTCACCGATCACCGAGCGTGTTCGTCCAAGAGAAAAATATATTGGCCAGGAATATTTCCGTTCGGAAACATAGGAGAGAAAGGGGCCCCGCTACGGCCCTGCAAAAATCACCCACAGCGTTTTCAGCAACGCATTCCACCACGTAGTCGGCTGCAAGGGGTATACCTTCGGCAAATCTACCACGCTCTTATGCGGCCGTGGTGCACGTGAACGGAGATGGGCTTGATGATTCGAAAGAAAAGAACAAAAAACAGACTTTTTCGAATAAATCTTCGTCAGTCGAGTATGAAAACGGTATAAAAACTGTTATTTACGGGCGGCCAGCGTCTGATCGATAATTCTCGCGTGCTTCTCGGTGACCGATACGCGATGATAATGGATCGGATTCTGCGAGATTGCTACCACTGTTATCCTCGTGCACGGAGTTTCGAAAACGAGCATTCGGATCGATTCCAGTTAGATTATACTCGTATGGAACAAGGGTTGGATAGATGTGTACAGATCAGTATCTTCCCCAACGGATGTGTAGGTATACAGATCGTATCACTCGTGCATTGGATACTAGTTATTAAATTAACAGCTTATTACCTTTCCAAATTCTGAACTTATAAAGTTATCAAATTCTTCAAACTAAAGTTCTAAAATACCTTCTCCACATTTCCAGATTTTTAAATCTCATCTTCCACGTTTCAGCTTCTACAATACATCATGGGACCCTTCTCGTGATACGCCATTAAGGAATCGAAAAAATTGCATAAACCCTCTGTAAGAAAAATTGTACAGATATATTAGTCAGTTTTTTGGCGAACCTCGGAGGTTTAATATTACAGACACATGATTGACGGAGGAAAAAGGGTTAAGAAGCAAAAATGGGAGCCCGCGGATAAAAATGGTAATTTATGGTGCAATGGTCGACGGCTATCGATAATTCTCGCGTAGCAAATGCAAGTTGGACGAGAGTCTGTGCTTCCTTCAGTTGCCGCCCTTTCCTTCCTACCATTCCCTTTCTTCTTTTATAGTTAATGATAATAATAATAATAATGATAATAACAAGGACGAGAAGAGGGCGGAGACGTACCGAGAAGTCGTTGTAAAGGGTGCAGCCACCGCAAAAAGAATTCATTATGACGTTGGATATCTATCAGGACCTTTATCTCGATGCTCGGCTAACGGGGAAGAGTATCGACGATAAAAATGCAATTTACGATGCATCCAACAGGGGTACACGGTGTACGTCCAACGATTCGACGAACTTACAAGACAAATTGAACGGATGCTCCCGGAGACGGTATAAATATGTTCGTGTTCGTCGTGTTCGACAAAATAATAATGCAACATTGTTGCGTGTCACTCGAAATGGTTTGATAATTTGTTCCGTCGTACTCGAACCAATTAGAGAACATTATTGTACCAATTTAATTCAATATCGAATGTTGCAATATTGAACACGCACGGCTGCTTTCTTGATATTGTCCTTCAATTTATTAAGCGGTCCATTTATTAAATATCCAGTTGAGTATCGAATTTTGCCTCGTAACAACTACCGGTGTAATCCTTCAATTTAATAATTTTACTTTTTTCACTTTAACGTACTTCAATGATATGTCTGGAAATTATAAAGATTTTCATTAGCTAGTCTTTTCTTATTCGAACAATTTTTATTTAAAAATTAGATGCTCGACTCAGGTGGTACACCCTCTATAAGAAAAATCGTGCGCAAGAAAGAGAAGAGGTAAAAATTTATCATTCTGGGAGGCTCATTTATGCGAATTTTATATATGATTTATCGGTACGTTTCGATGCGATCTCAATGAGCGCCCGATACAGTGAACAATTTTTTGGCCTTTATCCAAGGGGACTGTAAGATCCTCGTGATTTGTGTGGCCATTTCGTGATGCTAATACGGAATCCTCGATTAATTTCTTTCTGTTAGCTGTCCAAACATTCGATCGAAAAAAACGAATCACCATCCTCTACCTACGAACTTATAAACCGAATGTACTCGTAATTGAAACCTTATCTTGTGTACAATATTATTTTATACTTAATGCTGTATGTTTAAATATCTTAACAACGAACTCCAAGCAAAAACTGTACACCGTAACAATCGTAAAATCCTAAAATTACAACAGCACGAGCTCGACAGCGTCCTCAAAAATGTAACATCTTGTGCGAAATCGAAAAGCAAAGTTATGCTTACAGGCTAGCGTTGCGGTTATCGGTAGTGCGAGTTTTATTATCCGAGCAGGAGAGTTAAGCCGTTAATTGGCAAGAAAAGAGGATTACAATGTGGTCAGATACGACTCGATGGACTCTGAAAGGCAAACGTTAGCACCTATAAACAGACGGGAATCGCGAAGGTCCGATCGGTGGGATTCAAGGGCTACGAGAAAGGGGGATGTAGCTAAATAACAACGAAATGCCAGGACCGTGGGTTGGATCGAGGGAATGAAAGCGGTCTCTGTGCCATTATGACGGGAAAAACGGCAGAATGCCACGTGGAATTTTTGCACCGCGTTCCGATGGTACCGAGAGTCGGCGAGCTTAGAACTTAGCGGATAAACGTGAAACACGCTGTATACAGGGTGTAACTGCGTATGTGACAATAATTTTAACCATCCTGCTTTCAAGAAATATTTAACCTCGAATCAGATTTGGAGATCTTACGAAAACTAGTGATTACAGACTATATGTTTATGCTTATAGGTTTAGTTCTATTTAAATTTCAGAGCCATGTACCTTAAGCGCTTAACATCGTCTCTGAAAGATCCAGTACAAAATTAAACTACAGGATAATAACGAAATCAATGTAGACGTGTACTTATAGGAATTTTTAGAGCATAATTCTGAACGTTAAAGCGTTGCACGCATATTAAATTACACCCTGTATAATTTGAAAAGAAAAACGGAAGGAAAGAGGATCCGCAGAGAAGCGGAGCATAAGAACGCTCGAGCGTAGAAAAAGAGGACGCGTAACAGGGGAAAAATGAGGCAAGCGTAAAAAGATTTCGGCGCGAAACGAACAGAAGCGGTAATTACCGGCCGTCGAAAATGAAACAGAACAAAGTTAAATATCACGGAATCTTGGTGAAGCATTTCACGTGCCACAAATTTAGACGTTAAACTAGAACTTTCATAACTACGTATTTCAATATTTTACACCCATATACCAGGTTGTAAGATAAATAAATTTAGATGCAGGTATCATGTTCCAATTCTGAGAATTAGACTCAGTACAAATGAGCATAATGATTCATAATGATCCACTCTGTATTCAATTTAAATCCTGCTGCTCACAACACCTAAAACACATTGAATATAATTTATTTATCATACAACCTGATAACTTAATCGTCTAACTCAAATATTTGCTTAAACTTCTAATACTATTTTATTGTTTTAATATTCATGGTGATGAAAAAAAGGTATTTGGAGCTTAATGATACAGCAACCGTGTTGCATAGAAGCAATCGACAAATGTCGATAAGGACAAATCGCCTGGTGTCGTAACGAACCGCAGGTAACAGGAAGAAGCGCGAAGAGCACGCTGCAGAGACAAGAAACAATAAAGAAAAGAAGAAATTGAAACTGACACTTACCGAAGCACAAGCGGTTGAATCTCGTGGTCCAGATAACGACGGTTATGTCGGATATGATTATACGACCGATGAAATACCAGCAGTCGCGGAGAGAAAAGCTTTTTGCCCGATATCTCAGCATCCCAACGGAGAGTTGCACGGCCGCATCCCTCGCCATTATTCTGATACGACGATCGTTTCCCCTCTGCAATACGATTCAACGAAGTAATTAGTGCCTCGATGTATTGCGCTCGTTATCGAGAATCCTTTTAGGATGTAGCAATAATTATTTCCTAACGACAACACGCGCAACGAACAGGACTTGCTCTGCCTTTTGCGAACACTTTTCTTTCGGCGTAGCCACGTTGTTCTTCTTAGACGACATTAATCGCTGCTAATAGCTGATCAACCGGAATAATTTATATTCACCTTTGATTTAACTATTATAGTCTTGATACGAAATTATTTCCGATAGGTTTCTAGCTCTTGAGCGAGACATTCTTACATCTCCAAATCCATACCTTTATATTTCCACATCCTTAAATACCTCAGGTCTCGATATTCTCAGGTCCCTATGTTCTATATCCCTAAATAGCCAGATCTGCGTATTCGCAGACCCTCGGATTCATGCAAGAAATTTGCATGACATTTGCATTTACATGTTATCAATTATGCAAAGGATAGGCGTGAGAACCGATAAGTTATTTTCTATAAGAATATACAGTTACATCAACATCCTTAGGCTAGAAATTAGAAGCAAAAATAACACAAAGTGAAAGATTACCTTGGTCCGAGAGGTTGAGTCAGAAGCAGCAAGTTTAACGTTGATTATTGAACAAGGCCTATGCGTGCCCCGTGGAAAAAATCATCGCAACCTGTTCAATAACGATCTTAATCGTCGCGCGTAAACGTTTTAAATGTAGCACGCCAGCCGTATCAGAGAGCACGTCTATTCGCTTCGCGGTCATGTTCCTCTCTGTGGGAAAGCCAAGCTGTGAATCAACTCGTATTCGTTCGGTTCTCAAGCATCGAGTTTTGTTTTGTCTGTTATAATACACTGTACTATTTACGTTAGTACCGGATTATTATCCTGTCGGCCACGGAGTGTACGGTCGAGCGCGAGATGCGAAAACAGTAACCCGGTTATAGAGGCTATCGAATGTTTATATTATTACAGGTACCGGACAATGTTGACGTTTCTTCGTTGCCATTCCAATGCAGAATTTTTTACCAATTTTTTTATCCTGCAATACAACGGAACTTAAAATATAAGTATTCGCTCGTTTAAGATTTGACGCGTTCGAGAACTCGGGAATTTATAGATTTACGAAACGTTTAAATACTTCAGTAAAATGTACGAGTTAAATTATGTACAAGATTTGGAATAAATGAAAATCCTCGTCCCAGACGCATACCTTTTATATTATGTACAGGAATTTCCTCCGACCCAAGTAAAACGATCCATCAGCGTAAAGATTGGCCGTATGTCTTCCCTGTAGCGTCAGAAATAATTATTTCGTCCGAAAATTTGTCGCGATAAATCGCCGTCAGACACGATGATGTATTCTTTTACCTGGAACAATCACGACAAAATATGTACGTCTTGACAGTGATTACAGTCGCATCATAATTACATTTACAATCATGATTACCTTCGACTAAGCCCAAACGCGTATAAATTATTATAAAGTAACGCGTGTATAGGCGACTATTAAATAACTGTAACACGATACCATGTAAATTACAGCGTAATAACGCATTTAATGAAGATCAGTGACGTGCAGGGAATAATTAACAGCGTTACATTAACGAAAGTATGTCCATCAATATCCTCTCGAGTTAACTTAATCTTTTTACGACCAACAGGATACGTATGCCCCACTTAACCAGCTTAGTCTTTATGCTTGACCCTTGGACGACGAAGTTCGCTTTAGCATTTCATGAAAATCCGTTATAAAAAACTTCTTCGTCTACTACATGGTACAGTTCGCAGCTTGACGTATACGAATCACATTAATTAACCGTGGTTAGGAATCAGGCCGTCAAAACGCGTCCGTGAACACCGAGTGTCCACCATGAGAAATTTTGCGAGTGCAAATTTTAATACCGTTAGTAAAATGACAATGGAAAGACCATCCGTTTTGTTAAGAGTCGACTAATGAGTGGACGTGGCGGAGAAACAGCAGGACTCGTCGCGAAGAATGGACGGACAATACAAAGAGGGCTTCGAAAAATCTTGTTGCTAGGCGGGGAATCGAGTCGGATAAAATCTAATGATCTCTTGGAAACGTTTTAGTTGGTATTAAAACATTTATCTATCAGCGCAGATGCCGAGATAGGAATTTGTCGAAAATAATGAGGTAAAAAATGTTGTAAATAAATTTAACAAAATAAAATATAACTAACTGTATGCAGGAAGCGTGAAAAATTGTATCACAGATATTCGTCCCTGCAGCGTGAAGACTTTTTAATTGAATATCGCCATAACAAAAAGCTTAATCGTTCTACCTGTTTCCACCGTCTCGATCATCAGTCACTTCCAAAGAGGTGAGACCAAATTACCGCAGCGAGTCACAAAAGTTCGAAGTGAAAGAGAACGAGCGTAAAAGAGAAAAGAAGAAACGAAGAGCAACCGAAAAACAAGATTAAAACGAAAGAAGTTGAAAATTAAAGGAAGAAAAGCGATGGCAGAATGGTTCTCACGAGGAAGATGCCGCCAAAAACTAAAGTGGCGTGAAGAAAAGATAGCCGACAAAGCTCGTTGGCTTAAAAAGAAGTCGAATAAGCGGCAAACAACCAGGCCGGTTAACCGAGCGGGAAGGATGAAGATGAAGAACGACGGTGCGTGAAGATCTTCCGCTGTCAGTTGGTGGTCAACCGTCTCGGCGTAAGGACGTACTTCTTGTGTGCCTTCGTGCCTCCACTCGTTTCCGTTTTCTTTCCGTTCAACACCTCAACCGATTGTTTTATGAGAACGCTTCGACGTACCGCGGATATACACGCGAAGTTCGCTCGCTACTCGTAAAAATGCGATCGAAATTTTGATATCCGATGAGGGAGATCCTTCTTCGCTTCTGCTAGTCGAACGCAGCCTAGAAACAAGGAAGAGGATCCAATTACACGGTGTTATTCGTCAATTTCGGAACAGTTTATTCGCTGAAAATTCATTTATCAGAGAAATTGATATTGATCAAATATAATAGAAGTAGCGAATACCTGTCGATGGGAAGAATGAGATCGACAAAGTTCGAGAGCATTTAAAGGTGGCCCGAAAAAATGAACTGGTTTTTTATGGGTCGTCGCATTAAGAGATACAAAAAAAGCAGGCCTATTTGAATATATCGGGAACTGTGCTTAACGGGATCGTTGTGAACCTAAAAAAAAAGAAAATTGAATTACTTCGTGACCTTGAATAACTTCTTTGAACATTCTTCGATTTAATAACTCGTTTTATGCAAACAGATACTAATGTTTGTTAGTGATTTGTAGAAGATTCGATAATGGACGTGCCTCATCGTCTTTGAGATTAACGTAAATATTGGACTTACAGTGGTGAAATAAGAAAAATCAACGAAGATGGCTTCTATGTGTGGTAGCAGCAAAAGTTATCCTGCGATAAATACAGGCAGCTATTACAGGCCAGGAGCTTATCCTTATCAAGTGAGTGAAGAATTTTAACCTTCCATGCTCGAATACTTTGTGTCTGACACAGCAGAATAGTTCAGTTTGACCCATAATGGTATCCTTATAATCAAAAATTCATAATAAATTTTTACACTATACAATATACATGTAATAACATTATCGTCGTTAGGTTAAATATTATCATAACAAGAAAATAACTATTACCACTTTTAAGCAAAATCTAATCTCAGAATGTACAAGTTTGATGTGCAGAAGAATACTTTGAACAAATTGTTTTCTATGAGAAATATTTAACAATAAGTCCTGAATGTTTCAAGTATTCATAGTTGTGCCAACTGAATACAAAAGAGAATGATCAACAAAAAATTATCACGTTCGTTAGTCTCCGGATATTCGGATACTTACACCTCGACTTCGTTATGATCCGGAAATCGTTTCGACTTCGTAACTAACCGCATCAGGTTTACGAAGAAGGAACGTGACTGCATCTATTATAAAAAAACCCGTTTCATATCCAACGTGCGCAAAATGTTATGAATAATGCAACGTTCGATTGCTTAGACTACTGATTTGGAAATTCCGGAAGGAAGATTTAACCGGCAAACTAATGACAGAGATGCAATCATAACCTATTAAACTGTAGTTACTCCGTACTTAAAGATATTTCTTGAAGTATCAATATGATTTTGTTGAAATATCCTTCTTATCAAGATATCAATTTTGGTAATAGTAATGAGACAATAAGAATAATTACATGACTTGTTACATCTATCGTGAACTCCCGTTATATTGCCCCTTCACACGCGCTATATAGTCACACCTTGCACAGTCATTGTATAGACAATAAATTCTCAAACTTATAATAATGCGTTACTTTCTGTACATCGCAGAATATTAGAGGGCAGAGAGTGCGCCATTAGGTAGAATTGTAGAGCGAAGCATCGTTCTCTTTACATACGATTGTCCATTCTCGAATCTAAATTCCGACGGTCTCGGTGGTCCATGGAATAAGATCCGTCTCGTTTCTTTCGATAGACGTAATTAAATGCGTCGCCAACTGCAGCATAAAACAATATGAAACGAACGGACCACACATACAGCCACTGCATCAAGGGAAACCTTGGCCTTGTCTTGCATGAAAGCGTTACATAAGTTCGCCTCGCTCGGCATCGCGTAAAGATGATGATGATGATCCGCCGTTCTTCGACTTTCTTCTCTCTCTCTCTTTTTCTCACCGCGTGTCTCGACCTGTCTCTCCTTGTCCCCTTCGATCGCCATGTTATCCTGTGTTTCCTCCCCCGGTGTTCTACGGCAGTTTAAAATATGAATACGTTCGAAGTTAGAAGGACATAAAAGAGTTCGAGACACGGCAATAGCGGTTTCAAGTAGAAAGGTACTTACGTGTTTCTTATTTTTTCTGTACACCCTCTATACGCGCATTCTAGTAAACGTCACGGGAGGCAAATGCTTTTGCTGTCCACTGGATACGGCTTTGCCATTTTTACCTGGAAATTGATTCAGGATTTATATGAGATAAGTTTGCCATTGAATGTTGCATTGTGCTTCTCGAGTAGTATTATTTTCACCAGAGACTGAAGCTACTTTTGATACAGTGAAATTTACTAAATTCTTCTCCTATGCCACATTTTTAATTAATATATGTAACATTTCTTAGTTAAAAATAATTAACAGAATAAAAAATTGTGAAGTTTCAATTTTGAAAATAAAATTATTTACTTGGAAATGAACACTGGACAAATATCCAGTTACATCATACTGTGTTATCTATAGATATGATTCTCAGAGTAGTTTCAAAAATTGCATTTTTATTCGGCACACAGATAAGCGAGCATAAATAAAAATATTATTGCACGAAGTACATAATTTTTGGTTGCCACAAAAACTTCTTGAGTACTTGAAAAAGTTACCAACACAGAGTTCCTGGTTTTAAGAACAGACATTTATTAAAAATATTACTGCACTAAAGATATAGAGTTTCGTTTATTCACTTCGTCTTACCTTCTTGAGTCCTCCGTAACTACGTACTGAGTATCTTAAAAAGTTATTTGCCTTATTCCACGTTTCAGCAGTGACCATCCAATAACAAGTTTCACATTACTATTTTTCTCGAAACGTTACGTAACCTGCAATTATTCATAAATAAATAACTAAAACTGAAAGTCCGAACACAATTTATTTTTGTATTTAAAATATTTGCCAAAAGATGTAGAATCACATTACTCGACCGTTCGGTAAAAGAAAATCGGTACCACGATAATAGCGTTCAAACAATATGCAAAAACCGTCGTGCAATTAAAAATTTGCAATGCAATTATGGTTTTTCCTCTCATCAAGATGAAGCATGTTATTTCTGCGTGTCATTCCGGTCAAAGACACGCGTGCTTTACCTTGTAATGTCCATTGACCCTCGAGCAACAGATACGCCATTGTTTCCGAGCCGAGTGCATTCTTCTCCCGTTCATCCTTTCCATGTTTATTGAAAAAATATCCAGATTCGGAGTAACAAATCGTTTGTTACAATTTTTGCTAGAAGAACAGAAAGGATTGGTAGCATCGTGTGTACAACTTTGGGATTTTGAGAACTTTTAAATTTGGCATCTTCTGAACTTTAGTATTTTAATGAGTTTCAACCTATAATAGTGTAGGAGATAAGAAACTTACTTCTTCGGTTGATATACGAGATGCATATGCAATTCTCGTGCGACGCCATTGACGAATATCAATCACGAAAGATACCGATATCTGATAATCCGCGCCACCGTGATTCGAACTACAGTCCTTAAGGCATCCTGCTTGGTCAGCTTAAGTAATTACAGGATTCCACGTGCGATGCTGTGACCAACGATCCACGATATTAACAATAAGACCCTTGGCTATGATTTATCGATATACCAATACCGGCCGCGACAGGCGTATTCTCGTTAATAATTTACAAAGGAACCATATGGCAAGAGTTCTCTCGCGTAGAGGTCTGCATCGAATAATACAGAAGGATGGCAGTACTGTATCTCCCGTCCTTTTGTCGATGCTGAGAAACCTTAAGAATGCGAGTCGCAGACAAATCGCTATCAGCTTCAACATTGGGCGAGAATAATGTCCGTAATCCCCCGGCCGATTTTTCATCTTTGTTGCGTTACAATGTAAAGGCAGAAAATTGTTCCGGAAGATTACTGCACGCGAGTTCCGTGTTCGAAGAACGTATTCGCATGAATGAACACGCCTCGCGCATCAATAATGATACTACGAATTATACCGTTCTATCTTCTGTCTTTTGCACAATGCTCACCGTTCGGCCACTAAAATACGATAAATGATTCGTTAATTACTTGGCTTCAAAATGTTTCATACAAGGTTCCATAAATATTAAAACGCATCCGAATATCCCAAAAGTTTACAAACTCTCGTGTCGCGTCTTGAATAAAAAACGCTCATAAGAATGGGATAATTAAAAGCGTGTTCAGAAAAAGAAGATCCAGAAAGAATACAATAAAGAGCGTGATTAAATCAACGATAACAATGCTGTCGTTCATCTTCCTCTCTCCTCGTTCCAGTCGCAACCTGGCGTGTATTCGGAGCCTGTTTACCGGCACTCCTACAACTTCCATTATCATCGTCCGAGTTTCCTCCGTCCAGAGTCACATCTCCGTGTCGTTGTTCCCCGTTTTTGTTGCACCACTCACTCGAGTGACATTAAATCCCAAGGTGGCACTGACCTAGCTGGCAGCTAGGACCACCAGAGGTGGACCGTTTCACGGCTCACCCTGGTCGTCGGTTAGGTACTGTTACTTCGCTGGCATACTTCGGCTGGAATACCAAATGAATTCAACCGAGGAAAGGATACCCGTGGCGATGTGGAAGAGACAATGATGCATCGTGGATTCCATCTAGAGCTAGGTAACGTTGATCAGTCAAGGTTGAACGAGCCGGTTCAACGTCCGAATTCCTGAGAGAACCCTGTTGAAATTTCAAACAGGTTCCCTCTGGATTCCGTAATACCGATCTGTCTCTTACCGCATACACGCTGAATTTATCGATAGACGTGGAACGACTTCCTGTTAACGGGTTGCAATCGATGTCGCTTAATTGTTGCTTGGCTTTCCTCGCTTCGTTAACTTTATGACCCTTTTTTGTATCTATTAGAAGATTGCATATGCGCAGAAATGTAGCCGACGGTTATATGCACTGAAAAATTAGTATTAAATTTTTTTTAAATCGTTTATGCAACATACGATAGATGAATGTAAGGTGACTATTGCTATATTACGAGTTCAGAAGCCATAAATAACGGATGTTAAACTTTCAAGGGTACGTTTGACAAGAAAGACACTCAAAGCCGATTTAAATAAACGAGTCAATTAATATGACGCTTCGGTTATACCTACCATCCTTGATTATCCGCTTTCAGGTCTTGGTCGACGTTTCAATAATGTTCTGTCATAGAGAACGGTATAATTAGGCCTCGTCGTTAATGAACCAACACATAGATCGAAATAGAAGAACTTCTATGCGAAGGCAACGGATGGCCTCTCTTTTTGTCTAGTTCCAATCGCTATATAATACTGGACAGTTAGGTTCAATGGACTCGGATTATGAGTCTATAATACGTATGTATCTGGACGTAACAAACCGTTCCCAAAGTCACGTTCCATGGACACCGTTTACATTAGCAAAACTCAATTGCGTTTGTGAGAAATTGATCCGAGATTATAACACTGAAGGTTGCGTTAACTATAAATCGTTTCTAATGAACCTTCGAGTATCTGGGACTCACGGACGTGTTTGTATGTTTAAATAGGTATTCGAATAACTATCGTGTAGATATAAATCTGTTTAACACCTGTACAGATGTATTGAGCTGTTAGAAAATTCTTGGTAATCCGCGATGATACTGGATAATTTTCATGTGTATTCTTCTTGTTTATTTGCTGGGGTAATGATGCCTGTAACTGAACCAACGCTTTTGTGTCAACGCTGTTTTCTAATCTTTGATAGATCTCTGATGATACTTTAACAATTGCATTTTGGAGAACTATGCTGGTGATCTAACTGAGATTTCCAGTGATCTAACTACTTTGGATTCCACGTTGCATGTTTCCAATCTTATCTGATCAATTTAAATCTTCATTACAGCTTATGCTTATTCAGTTATTAAATTTGAGTACAAGTTGAAGTATTAATTCGGAATTCCATGATTGATTCATCGCTCAGCGTATTAAACAAATTAAAATTGCACTTTCATCCCCGTATAGCACAAGATACCAATAGTGCAGTAATAAATATAGGACTAGAAGATTAACCATGACACTTTTTCCTCTACATAGTCCTTCAAAGAGTCACCCAATTAACGTTCCTCTAGACACGATCCTTGCAACCTTTGCTTTAACAAGAAAATTGCACCGCTTACTTGGTGGCAACGACCTCGGCTAAATTCGCACAGTACTGAAAACATAACTGTAACAAGAAGATGATACCCACGCAGAGTTTCCTAGACGCTCTGCATGTCTGGAAATCCTGGATCAAAGCAGCAGGGTCCTGAGAGACCAGAAGGTCAATCCAACATCACGACCCGACGGTCCTTCCGCTTCGCGGTAAATCATGAAGAGGCGGAGATGCCGTACCGCCTCTCTGCTTTACTTAGATGTGCCCTTATCTCGGGTTGAAACGGTTATGAGCCTCCTCTGCGAGACAGTCGTGTCACGGTTAAAACGATACCGTACCATATACGAACTATCCATAATCATCATTTAAACCTTCCTTTACGTTTCATAGGAGCTAAGTACCCGGGGTCAAGAGAAATTCACGCACCTGATACCTTAATTAACGTTGTTTGCGACTCTTACTACGTTGTCGTTGTATGAACTTGCAGAGAAAGGTCAGGGATCTGCAAAAACGATAAGAAGTTGATTGACGTCTCATTGAAATAGGATATTAAACGGTAAAATCTACGAGGTATTTATAATAGCATACGTCTCTTACACGTTTCATTCTTATAACAGTAATTGTTGCGACTCAAAAATTTAATATAGTCGACTAGGATTCTGAGAGTGGTCAAACATTTTGTGCAGTATTTTTCAACAAAGGAACCTGATCTTCTGAAGCATACTCGGGTGCTATGCAGGCTTCCTTTGGCTGAGTAAGCTTTCACCACATATTTTCAGTTTTGAGAGAACTCAAAGAGCTAACGGCAAGTCTATAAAGAGCCTATTAGTCAGTTTACTTCCTGAAGTTTCAAAGAGTGATCCTGCAAAAAGGTTGTGGACGTTAATGTATAGCCAGTATGTCATAATACAGAAGAAGTTGACATAGAATAAAAACAATAGTAAACTAGTAAATGAAATGAGTATGGAAATTGAAATCTTTTCACAACCGAATGATTGTGAAGGAAAATGTCATCGAGTATGCACACAATAAGGAATAAATTTCTGTAATTACGCACAGAGTTATCGGTAAACGAACACCGTAACCTGAAAAACAACAGTTCACTTTCTTCCTCAATGAAATCAAGACTTACGACATTCTGAGAGGTGAAACTGAATGAAGCGCGTACAAAAACAAGTAGTGCATGAGCCGCTCTCGACAATCCTGGTATATGTTTTTGCTGCAATGACAAAAAAAGTTATGTTAGCATTGTTCGCTATTCCCATTCATTTAAGTTATAATATAACGAAGAATAATCATCTGATAATTCTTACGTGATCGGCTATGAAAGCACGTAGATGCAAATCTGAAATCGTTCTCGGTATTCGAGGATCACGCGTATACTTCCGATTGCCCGTTTCGGCGATACTGTATCCTGTCAGACGGCTCTTTTGATTTCCAATTGGAGATTATTTATATTTTTCATTTCAGTATGAATCCAAAGAAGTACGATGAGTAGAAAAAGCAAGCGATGGTCGATCATTTTCTCTGATTCTCGAAGATGTCTTCTCCAAAAGAAATCTTCAACCACCTATATTGTCCATTCGAACGTTTCGCGTGTTTTGTGGTTTGAGGTGATGATTACACGGTCGTAGAGTCGGCGATGAAGTTACAGAGAGCAGAAACTGTTGCTGGACAAGCGGCTAGCAACGGTTACAGCAATTACACGGGCGTCGAGATCGTAATCTCGCCCGATGAAGAAAATTCTTCAATGCCTTGAAACCTCGCAGAGCCAAATATGCCGCGTTCATCATAAAACAGTGCAATTCACTTTTTGCGGTCGTTATTCTTCACATCTGCGATTTCCAAAAATAATAAATAACATTAGATTATAATTAATGTACACCTTATTCTGTATACATTTTAAAAAATATATTTATTTATGAAGATGCACAAGAACTTATTTATCAAAGAACAAGAATTAATTTAACGCGTTGCGTTGCAATTAAAAAATGACCATCATGATATGACTTGTTGAAAAAGATGAAGCCATTTTTTTAATTCAATCAAGATAAAATGAGTTCATAAAATCTACATCACCGTTAATTAACGTTAATTTACAAATAAATAATCAACACAAATGATTTATACTTCCTTGCGTGGATCCTAAACAAGTGCAGGAAGATACTCCACCGCATACCAATGCTCCTTTACACATTCACGCGGGCAACTGATTTCATAATGAAGCAAGGTGTTACTTAACTCCCTATCGTGACCTCAAGAGACCTGTAGCCCTAATCAGTCCATAAATTTTCGTCGCCAAAATTTATATTTTTCTATAATATATTAATTACTAGCTTCTTCAACTATATACTTCTTATAGACACCAAAGTATCGATCAAATAGTCCAATAATTAATCACGCTATTTTAATAATAGAGCGAAAAGATATTGCAATTTTTCTGTAAGATAACAGAAAGTGAATTTGCTATTTTTAACAAGTACTTGCTAAATCAACGAGTCTATATTTATACCGAGGCTGTAACGGAATTTCGAGCGAGTATCTCGGTAGAAAAATGCGAACTCTTGGTCGGTCTACTTTTTGCTGACTCTCCGTTTACTTTTCTTCTTTGTTGAAGATCAGCCTGACGGTAGATAAAGAGAGGATGTACGTTCACAAACGATCCATTTATATACCAGTAGGCGCCACTTGAATTGCACCTCAATGCAGTTTAATTCAAATTTCATATCCTCAACAGCAATATGTTAGATAAATTCACTTGAACCTTGAATTTTCTTCTTCAAATTTTACCAGCCACTCTGTGTCATGCATTCCCTAAAATTTTATGATTGTTCTTAATCACACTATAGTTAAATAGAAGAAAATATTATAAACTAATTTAAATAGAATTTAAACGAATTTAATAATTTGTAAATAGTTTGTATATAAATAAAAGTATGAAGAAAATAATTGTTAGAACTTATTGAACACCCCGTGTACACGTTTCTATGGAGTCTCATTAAGCAAGACAAGGACGAAATGTACAGTGGCGACCTTGAGAGATCTTTGCACTCGCTGGTTGCAGTCGCATCTTCTCTTCGTGGTTTCTTCATGCCGCCCCTTCGAAGGCCGCGAAATGACTCCGCCCAGGTCATGGTCCACGCACCTTCGTGTGCACCGCACCTGTGCCAATTCTTATCCTTTTTTCCTCTTTGTCGGAGTCTTTGCTTCGCACTCGAATTAAAAAGAAAATCTCATTATTATCTACGCTTCGATCGATCCCGCATACCCGTGATTTTAATACATGACTACTCACATTTCCAAATCAGTGACTCGAAGGTCGTGCATTCCCCTTGTTACTAATAATGATTCTTGCAATCTTATAAATATAGCTATACACGGCGCCGTCCTCTTAGGAATTCCTTAGAGACTTCTGCATTCTGCGCGGTCAACTTCAACCAAACCAATTAATTTTCAAACAGAACTCAGCGAGTTTTCGAATTTACAAATTCGTAGAATGTTTATGCTTTACCGAATGTTTACATTTAAATAGTATTATTATATTAAATGATACGTTTGTAAAGCTGGTCGAGTTAATTTATTGATTCCGATCGCTTCGATGATTTATAGCATTCCTACAGCAATGATTTAAGAACGCCTTATTTATGGTTCGGTGATAAAAGGAATGATGTATGAGGTCAGCATTCGTTCAGTTCCTCTTCCTGATTTTATATTTCACATACAGTCGCTAGAAAAGCAAACAAAACAGCATACTTCACTTTTTTCGAGCGAACTCGCCTCGAGTAAATTCTTCGTTTGTTGGATTTAATCGACGCGCAACGTTTCATGTTCAAGAGTGCCATTAATCATCGCGTGAGAACGAACGTGGAACGCTAAAACGAAATCAAAAGGCATCGGAATTAATTCAGGAAACAGAAACTGAGGAATTTTAATAACATGTTACTAAAAATTTCATCTAAGATTGCTATAAAAATGTAGTAGGAAATTCATAAATATATAATTTCTAAAGTTCAGATCTAGTTGCAATAGTTCTCTTAGTGGTTTCGAAGAATATAATTTATCGTTTATCAATTATTTTATTAAAATAGGTTCGACGAATAAAGTAAAGGGTAACGCGTCGTACTTCCGGTGGACGCATTATTGCATTTAGTCGTAACAATGCACTTTCGCGGTAGTGAAGCTAATAGCCTTTTCAAGAATCGCATAGCTGTTACCACGCTTTGTGATCCACATAGTTGGACATGGTCGGTAACGTTGCTTAACTGGAGGCCACTAATCTTTTTTTTCTTGGCACTTGCATATCTCAAGAAGTATATAACAAGAAGAGTAATGAATGGTTGAGCGAATGAAAAAACCATCGGACGTTCTATTACGAGACGCGCTGATCTGCAACAATAAACAAGCAAACATCGATGCATAAATATGTCTAGATGGTACATGATTTTTTTAACAAGAATAATTTACCTGTGACAGCGTTTTTCTTTATAATAAAGTCCTACATAATTCATATATAATTTATGAATTATTTCAAGATCAAAGTTCTTAAATTTAAGTAACTAAGACACTCGGCATGAAGAGCAGCTCGCAAAAGGTGCAAACTCCCCGAAGGCGAGGACGTATTTCTTGTAATAAGGCAAACATTCAGGTTTCTCTTTGCAGAGGCCTTTTCAGGGCTACACCAAACGAACGAACGTCAACACTGTCGACGTTAATGGCGATTCTAACGACGGGCTCTATGCCTTCCCGAGTCGCCGACAAACCTCCGTCCTTCGACGGAAATTACATAGCTCTGGACGGACGGCTCTTTTGTCGTTATAACAGATAATGACCTTACGGATCGATCAGCAGAATCCATGAGAAAATCTGCTGAACTACTTATTTCGAACACGAACATCCTTTGCATACATTAATTATTGATCGACGTCTGGAATTATGCAACAAAGAACATTTTAACAAAACGTAAAGATACAGAGGTTCTTCTCTCTGGTTCATAGTGAAAAGAAACCTATGTTACACCTGAGTGTACTCAACAACACGAAGAACCGCATTATTTATAATATTTGTTAACGTCGGTTAACATCTTCCAACTATAGCTTCGACGGAGGAGCCGAACATTTCGACAGAAAACATCTTGTGAAAACATAGTGTTTATATCGAGGTGTTAATGAAATACGAGAGGAAAAAGAAGGTATCAATTTTGTACGAATCGGTACGTAATGTTTCCATGAAGCAATCCTCAATGATTATACTTCATTTGTTCCTAGCCGCAGGTACATGCAAACGAGATGAAAATTGTTACTCGGTTGTCGAGAAGCTGACCCAAATGCAGATCATCTGGATCTTGCCGATGGTGACTCATTGTCAATGAAAATCGAATGAATCAACGTAGTCAATTAACGACTTAGATCGCTTTCGAATCCGCTTCAAGTTATAAACTAATTACACAAATATATTTTTGTTACAAGAATTAATAATAGCACTTCAGTCTGAATTAAAATATCAAATAAGAAAGAGTTTCATGTACCTCACATCTTAAGAAATAATACAATTGAGCTATGTACTTAAATGTTACACGGTAAATTTAACTACCAGTTCCAAAAATAAACGAACACAGTCTCGCTCCTAAATATCCTTCTGTCTCCTCATTATTTTTCATTTCACCCCGGTTCTGTGATGCTAATGAGAAAAGATAGCGCGTAATAAATCAAGGAACACCGCAAAGAATGGACCTTTATGAACCCCACAGGTTTCCAAGCAATTCTGCCACATTTTTCCCGCCATTTCTTTGTCTTGTAAATACCGCGTGTCGTTTAGCACATAATAGCAACCTCGTTGTAATTCAAAATATGCTTCTACAGAACCGAAGAAAAAGTAAGGAAAGAAATGCACAAAATTCGAGAATCATCGGGAAAGAACTCTCATGGTGTACAACGGAGGCGTTGGAGTTCACAGAATGGTTCGAGCAAGCTGTGGTGCGTTCTCTACGTGACCATCTTGATCGTCGCAACACGTGTGCAGATAGCGTTGCCATTGTATTAGAAAAAGAGCGGGAAAAACAGAGCAGAATACTTCTCACAGAATCACGACATCGATAAGCATTTAACGGTTCATCTTTGTCCAGCAGTTTTTAGATAGGAAACGTAGATATTCGGTAATTTAGGAAGTATGCAATTACTAAATTACTTAATACAACCACGCTACGAACCTAAGATAGTTGCTATAACTGTACTTAGTTACGATAATTATGCAGCAACTAATTTACTGAATTATATTACTTACAAAGTTAAATTTCATTATACTACCATTGTTACAGACCAATCAGTGGTAATATAACGAAACCATTGTAACTAAATTGCTATAAGTACAGTAACAAAAATATTGTGAACAGAATATTCTACCAAATTAGAAATCATTTGCTCGTACAAATGTTCATTAATCGATATGAATGATGTACGTGTAACATTAAAGCGTTACGACGTCATTTCACGCGATAATGACATTCACCTTGCGTAACAAACAATTCGGTTCTCCATTTTTGGAGCCAACGACCTCAAACTACTCATCGACTTCCAGCCGCACGACCATAAAGCTTCTATCACCCATGGTTCTTAAGCGTGAAATTATTTTTGATCGGCGATTAAATTATAAATGTATTAATTGTAGCCAATTAAAGTTCCTATCTCGTATAATAAAACCTATCGGAATTATTATAATCGTCCAATAAAAACATGCGAAGAATACTTCGTTCTGCTCGAATCTTTGTCCTTCTTATGCCGATTGGATCATTTCACGCATGAACTGTATGATAAATCTCAAGTAGCAACGGACCGTGACAAACGCTCGTTCATTCCACAATCATGTTCTTTTACTTTTTAACTTTTAATGGAGATAACGGTAATTATTTAGATGTATGGTTATTGCGTCAATTTCAACGACCTTCAAACGTGTTGTCAAGGTCAACATTCTGTGTTAATATGCAAGTATATGTGCATCAAAATCGATGAAGAGACCAAACTTCTAAATAGTTTCTAAAATAACTTCCCGGTGATCTGCTTCTAACTTTGAAGTTAATGATCCAACCATAATATTTGTATCTTCGTGTATTTCGTGTTTCTTTGTATCAAACTTTTAATCTCGGATTCGTGCTGTTGAAACTTTCTGAAACAAAGGAACATCCATTTAATTAATATTACAGAGAAACTTTTTGTTAAAAAATCAAAAGTCTAAAAATTATTGTTTAATCACAATACAAAATAGCAGAGCTAATTATCGTAATAAACCTAAATAAAATATGTCCTGAATTCGCGAGACAAACTAACGCACAGTTACATTCGCCTATTATCAATAATTTACATATCCGAATTTAAACGATCGGGTCCTTCACACAAACTCAGCCGATGTGGTTGACTTTGAAAACTTCTTCCTTTTTCTTTTATTTTTTTCACATTCCTTCTCGGCTCCAGTACCGTTACAGGTATTACTGTACACCTGACTAAATTTATTGCGCGTTCCGATTATTGAATCGTCGAATGGCGACGGTTAGTTGGTCAGTGAATGTATCTTGAACTCAGAAAGAACCTCCGATGTATTCAAATGAACAGAAACATTATATGAAATTATCTTATCGTAATTATAAATTCTACTTTGTAAAGATATTTGATAATTGCCACCGGATAACTTTGTACCTATATAGTTTTCCATAATATAAGACAGCGTTAAAGAAGGTTCACCTATAACATGTCCTGCTACGAATAATCATTATCTTTATTACTGAAAACATCTGCAGTAGATAAACAACTTTAGTCACGTATATTTTTGTGATTCTAGAACGATTATTATTTGCCACCACGGTCAACATGGTCCAGGGTCTCGCCCCAACAGACAAAGAAACAAAGAGGAAACACTACGTGGAAAGTAGGCAGCGCAATGTTAATCATCTCCGCCATGCTAGTATTAATTGCTGTCTTTGCAATTGCAGGATTAGCGCTGTGGATGGGAGGTATATTCATACGTCATAACTTATTTACGTCCTGCAACAAAATTCTAATGAACCCAATCTTTGTTTCAGCTCTTCGGACAGATTCAAAGAATGGTGAGCATTAATTATATATTATACTAAATTTCTGATGTAATACTAAACCTCAGAAACCTAATAAAGTCTACAATGCTTTCCAGCGATCGTTGGATTCACCTGCAGTTTCAGGGTGTCCAAAGGAGAAAAGTATAATCCTATGTTAAAATTGAACACGAGCATGGTGTTCCGTGAAAAGGAACGAAAGTACAAGAATATAGTGAGTTTATTAATATGCAATTCTAATGTCAACTAGTGGAACTATGTAATTTATAAACTATTGTGTTCCAGTTCGAGTTGCTGTTTAGAAGAAGCGTTTTAAGCCCAGCTTATAAGCAAACGATCATAGACAGGTTCGAAAGCGGTATTCTTAAGGTGTTCTTCAGGATATACCTAGATAGAAGGAAGATACCGCGATCGATTACAAACGTCGAAGACACAATCGAGGATGTTATCGCGAAAGAGACTTATTCATCGTCCTCCTTGTTCAAGGACATGGAACTGGATCTCACGAGTATATCGGTAAAAAGTAAGCATCCGTTAGAAACGATGGCTGTGACAAACTGGTGACATAATTACACTTTCTTTCACCTATATGTAACTATTATTTTATATACCGTCTATTGACTTAAACAGAGCTCAAAGTTCTTTCGATCTAACATATTTTAATAAATAATTTTCTTAATCTAGCGACATAACAAATGTTTTTTTTCAGGAATAAATCAAGAGGTGCCAGGGAATCCCAAGCACGCACAACAAAAGAACGCAATGATCACGAAAAACGGTCTTCTCCGACCCAGCAGAAACAATTCCTTAATCACCAATTCAAAACCAAAAACAAAACCCACCAAGATCGAGTCCATCGAGTCTGAAATCGACTTCAGCAACATACCAACGATCCAGGGTACCTACAAAGCGACAAAAGTAAATGCAACCTCTTCAAATAAAGCAAACTCTACCGAAGAAGCAGTCAAACACGAACCGGACACGACAAACAGTACCAAAGTAGCTTTACCTCAAGAACAAACCTCGACTAAGTCCACGAGCATGGAGGACAGCACCCAGACAACTACCAGCACGACTCGGACGATCTCGACTACTGATTCGGTAACAAAAGACCAACTCAATTATACGGTACATGAAGACGCACCCAACAGCAACTCAAAAACCGTGAAAGAGGTCTTCGAAACGTCCACAGCGTCTACAGATCCGGTGGAAACCGATCTCTTCAAAGATTTCCGGAAACCTGATTTCGAGACGTCGCCGTGGAGACCCATCGTGCCTAGTTACGTCAACACCGAATTAAAGTTATTACCGAACAACGTTGAAAAAACAACTAAGAGCAATTATAAAGTGAATTACAGTAACATAGCACCCGACACCACCACGAAGATTCCTCCGCAAGATGTTCACGATAACATCCCCGAGTCCTCGCGGCCTTCGGAGCCGGCAGAGGCCTTGAACTCGTATGTGGATGTACCTGGCATGAGCACATTCGACATAGGTGACACAAACTTCCCTCGCGACAGAATCGTGCCTCAGGAGATGGTGAACTTCAGGGTGAACGGGAAGTTTAAGAACAAAATCCCTGGACTGCTGGAGGATGGGCAGATCTTCACCGAACCGACGCTGCCTAAAGTGGACCAGGACAGGAGGCCGGATATCGAAGTGTCTGGACAACTTCCGCCGGAAACTTACGATGTCAAGCTCCGAACATCTTCTGAGCCTGAAAGAATAGAGTTTCCGTTAGCGAAACCTCATCGTTCAGCTGTGGAGAATGAAACTGGGTGGAGGGTTCCAGACACGACAATTCCTTTAGAAACGAGTAAAGAGAAAATAGGTCAAAGTAATGGCGATTTGAAGGAGAAGGAGGGTTCTGATAACTTGCTGGTAAATTCTAATACTTCAAAATGGCAGCAGAAGCCGGATACCGAGGAGGAATCTACGACAGAAATGTCGGGGGTCGGAGTGGCAGAGCCTGTCTCCGATGTGGACGTTGAACTGGAATCAAGAAATCGGTACTCGGATATTCAGGCCGTTGATAAACAACAGAACAATGCCCTGCAGGATCGAAAAGTGGATAAAAATGTCGAAGAACCTGTTTATACCAGCTATAAGACGCCTGATTTGAACGGGGCTGGTATGAAGCCGAGTCTGATCCAGAGTTCTGGGACTCTGATGCCATTTAGGCACACGATACCCGTAGACAAAATCGCTTCCGTTGTGAATTATGACAAAAATGAAGAGGAATATTCGCCGAAACAACAAATTAACGCTGTGACAGATAGTATAATTGACAACGAAGAAAAACTCATAGAAAATCATCGATTAAGCTCAGACTTGTATGACAACCTAAAGAACACGACGGAGGATGAGATCAAAATATTACCAGAAAATTTGAATGACACGATCGAGGTGGAAACTGTTGCTCAAAAAGAAGATACTGTTAAAACTAACTCTCCTATGAAAAACGCAAAGATTGAATTGTCAGAGGGTACAGAAATAACGAGAGAAAATTCAGGAATAATAGACGATGAAAAGTTCCTCAAGTTGAGTACGACCGAAGAATACTCGGAGGTAATCCACCCTCTATACAACAACATAGATAAATTAGTTGTAAAGGACGAAGGAACTAAAGAAACGTCGCCAGAAAGATTACCACCTAGTCTGTCCAGGAACTCTACCTTCATAGAGATTGACACCTTGAAGCACACTCCGGGACAGTCTGACTCTGCCTCATCAGAGGTTAAACCAAACGACAAAGTAGAAGGATTCGACTGGTTGTTCAATGGAACCGTGAATCGACCAATTAGCTCTTCAGAGACTAGAAAAAAGGTCTATAACGACACTTTGAAGGCGTATGTGGTTGAAAATCTGGTGACTCTGGCGCCTGTTAAGAGCAACACTGGCATTGGCAGACCGGTAAGACCCAGACCCAAGCTGGAGGAGAAATCCACGAACAGAAGCGCCTCCGACGATTCCATGCTTTTGGAACAATTGTTCGGCGTGCACAGTCGAGACAGAAACACGACGAAGCGTGATTCCTTTAATCAAGATAACTCGGAAGAAGATTCCAACAATCACGGCAAGATCGAACAAATCGTCGAAGTCGTGACATCCATCAGCACTAAAGTCTCCTCGAACTTTAAAGGAGATCCTGTTATATTGAAATTCGTCGTTACCAACTCGACGTCTCTTCCGGTGATACATTCGGAGCTACACGAAAAGGACGCCTCTTCTTCGCAGATAGCGGTGCCGGAAGAATTACCCGTCGACGGCAACAGAGAAGAAAATCGTTCCTTCAGAGATCACGGTTCGAATCAAGCCAGTCTAACGTGGACGCAGGAATCTCCTCTAATTCCTAGCAACGTGCAGACATCGGATCGGAAAATCTCCACGGTCGAAGAGAACCAGTTTCTTCTGCAGAAACTGAAACAGCTGGCTGTAATTGGAACGGACGAACAGCCAGTGAAAGAGAGAAACACTTCGAGGCCAGTTGTAAAACCCACCGTGAAAACGGAAGCTCGACCGCTGTCAGATTTTGAGAAGCTGAAGGAGATCGCGGACATCGCAACCGGAAACGAGACTTTGATGAACTCCAGCGCTGCTTTTACGATGACGCGTGACGGCGTTGAAATACTGACGAAGATTTTGAACAAGATGGAGGATCGTACCGATAAAATGATCTCTACTACCGAACAGAATCTGGAAACTGGTAAATATTCAACTGCTAAAATACATACGCGATGTGCTTGTAATATAATTATCTATAACTCGGATCATATTCTTCCTTCGTCTTCACAGATCATTGTTTCGGTTTCCAATGCAGAGACGGGAAATGTTTACCGGCCAGCGGTCGATGCAACATGTTAGGTGAATGCTCAAATTCGGAAGACGAGGCCAACTGCACGTGCGCTGAATTTCTGAAGGCGCAACTCTTGCATCAGAAGATTTGTGACGGTGTAGCGGATTGCTGGGATTACTCGGACGAAGCAGACTGTGGTATTTGTCGTTCGCTATAACATAAATAATTTGTCTATTAATTACTTAGGATCATGGAATCCCCTTTCGTTACATTTTGCATTTTCACGAGCGCAATTAACATGTTTGCAATTGTTTGCTAGACTGGTGCGAAGAGGGTCAATTCGTTTGCGGTAACAGTCGGTTCTGCATCGACCAGGACAAGGTTTGCAACGGTTTCACCGACTGTCCTGGAGGAGAGGACGAGAAGAAGTGTGCTGCACTGATCGAAGACGACGCGATGTTAAATTATCATAAAACAAACGCTTTCGGTAACGAAAATAATTCTGACACCGTTACAACATCGTACAAAGAAGACGATTACTCGGAGACAGATTCTACTATGAACAGCGATATCTTTGATCAAGAAGCTGTTGAATCCTTAATCTCAGAATCGACCACTTTACGCGTGTTCAAAAACAATGTTCAGTTGGAGAAAATTATAAACAAGGACGATTCTGCAATCAAAGGAGCTCTGTTCGACAACCGCGAACATTCCAAGCCTGCAACTCTCGTCTCAGGCAGAGAAATATCGTCGAACACGAAGGATATTCTGACTCGTGGGAATTCTATTCACGTAAAGACTAAAGAGAACGATACCACTGCGATCAACTTCAAAAAAGAGATTAACAGTTACCACGAGAAGGGGTATTTAAACATTCGAAAGAACGGAAAATGGGGGAAATTATGTTTAAACGGCATGGACGATCTTTTACAAGAGAGACAAGCTGTTTGGACCATAGAGGATCTTGGTAGAGCTGTTTGTAAGGCGATTACGTATCAGTAAGTATTTCGTTCTTTTTGTTCGGGTCAAAGTAGAACGATTATCCTAACATTTAACCCACTAATGCATTTTTAATGTAAAATTTTTTGTATGACACTGCCTTAAGGCACAGCTTTTTGTACATTATGAGGGTTATTGTAATTAGCATCAGACAGTGATGTGTTACAGCAATTAAAAGTTGGAATTTAGTGTGAAGTGGATAAAAAGTTCATACATTAGCGGGTTATTTAAGTTTAACTTTAATAGTAAAAAAGAACACTTTGGATCTGGTGGTCTAGTTACGTGTTCAAAAATTAGAAAAGAAATTCTTTCGAATAGCTTACACATTATAGTTCTAGAATTAAAATGCTTGAATTTTGAATTTGTCAGGGATTACGATACTGTGGAGAAGGTATTAGATGAAAATCCCGCCTCCAGCCGAACATATTATACTCTATCTTACAACGAGAAACCTACGGACAAAACGATTCTGACTTTCAAAGCGTCCGAGTGCCCGAGCGGTGAGATTCTCAGGGTCAAGTGCAAGAACCTTGAGTGTGGAATAAGAACGCAGACCCCGTCGCAGGCCAGGTATACTCACTGAACCAGTTTCTCTTAATTATATACCGACCAGATCCATCGTTTACAAAACTATTTGTATACAAATGCGTTCGAGGATAACGACCTCCTTTTGCGTCTCGGTAATAACATTATGCCAAACGCGCAGAAAAAGAGAAAATGTAAATGATCCGCATGAAAATTAGATACACTAAGACTTCTTACCGTCGTTAATTTTATTGCAAAATAATATAGTTGGATTTAAACGAGATACGTGGTAAGAATATGAAGCGGTATCCAGAGATCTATTTAATTAAGCAGTATGCATTGAAGCAGATCGAATATTTCTCGACGTTGCAGAATAGTCGGAGGTGGTAGTTCTTCGACCGGAAGTTGGCCGTGGCAAGTGGCTCTGTACAAAGAAGGCGACTATCAGTGCGGCGGAGCGCTCATCAACGAAAGATGGATTCTCTCTGCAGCACACTGTTTTTATCAGTAAGTGATCTACAAAAACAGATGAAATGTAATTATAATTATCACTGAAACAGTATCTCAAATTGTAAATCATTTTACATGTTATTGAAAAAATTTAATTCAAGCTGAATACTTAGACAAAATATCTTTTCGTCACCTAATAAATTATGAAATGTATTAACAGCTTATATAGAAAATGAGAAACAAACTTACACTCTAATTCCACAAATATTTTAATACTCAGTGCACAAGACGAATATTGGGTCGCAAGAATCGGAGCAACGCGTAGAGGAAGCTTCCCAAGTCCTTACGAGCAAGTGTTACGCGTGGACCACATATCCTTGCATCCCGACTACATCGACAACGGATTTATAAACGACATAGCGATGCTGAGACTCGAGAAGCCGGTAATTTTCAGCGACTACGTTAGACCAGTGTGCCTTCCTCAAGCAGAACCTAAGAGTGGCACTATGTGCACCGTAACGGGCTGGGGACAACTGTTTGAAATAGGAAGGATATTCCGTAAGTACAGTAATAATTTAACGCATTAAGAAGTTAAGGATGAAATATTCTCAAGCTTGAATACATAGATTAATGGTAGTATTTTGTCCATTAGCTGATACCTTGCAGGAAGTACAACTTCCTGTAATCTCGACAGAGGAATGCCGAAGGAAAACGTTGTTCCTTCCGTTGTATAGAATCACATCGGGGATGCTTTGCGCAGGACTGAAGGATGGTGGAAGAGATGCCTGTTTGGGAGACAGTGGCGGACCTCTGGTTTGTTCGGGATCAGACAACAAGTACACTCTTCATGGTAAGCTAACATTTTTACCTATTTTAACAGAATGACTCTTATTAAATTATAATATAATTCTACTGTACTTATATTTAATTTTACTTGACATTATTTAAAATAAAGAATGAAGTATTCAGAATATTATAAAATTTTAATTATTTCTTCAGGAATTACTTCTAACGGTTATGGCTGTGCAAGACCAGGAAGGCCCGGAGTGTACACGAAGGTGCATCATTATCTTCCTTGGATCGAACGCATATTTTCGATGGAAGATATTCGGTCCTCGATAGCTTCTTGCAAGGGTCATCGATGTCCTCTCGGTGAATGCTTACCAAAATCTCGAATATGCAATGGATTCTTAGAATGTTCGGACGGTAGCGACGAACGTGACTGCCCTGTTAATCTTTAATCTGTTAACCGGGTCATTTCTTCACCGTAAAAGTATCACTTCCGTTCTGTAAGTGTAGTAAAAAATAAAGGGAAATGAGCTGCTTCCTACTGTTCGTGAAAAGAATAAAAATAACTCGTGTTTGTCTGTTAATATAAATCAAATAATAGAATAAACAACAAGGAATGTTTAACGCTAGAACAAACAACTTATGAATATGAATGTGTACGTTTGTTCTATCGTTAACTCGTCTTCCCCGATTAACAGATTAACGATAAAAGACTGAACCGGTATATCTCTGTATATTTATTTGTTTAACGAATTTAATATTAATTTAATTTAATTAACTATTAAGATTGCTGTAAAATATTCGAATGCTCGTCGATTAATAGAAATGTGCAATACATAGCTAGAAATCAAAAGATTGAAGATAAATGTTTAGAGAGCGGATCAGAGATTCGTTGGTTAAATATAACTATGATGAACATGCTGATCTGTCGCACAATTATCTTCACGTTTGACAGTTAACACGTTTAAATGATAGAAAATGAAATTACTAATGTTTAAGCGTAAACAGATTATTTGTTCGATGATAACGAATGAATAATCGCGATGAATAGTATTACTGAGTCATTCGCGTGACTCAGAAGTACTAGATAATATAAGATTATTTAGACAAACCTGGTATTTCGATTCTTTTGTAATTACGAAACGAATCTTAAGGCCATGTGTATACTGTTATTTCAGCCTTATCAATTTAAAAACTTTCCACATAACGTGTGTACATATTACATCTAATTATGTAAAAAAATGTAATGGTAATAAATAAGAATTTTTAAAAAAACAGGAGTCCACTATTTACACACATCCACGCCATCCACTTTCAGAACACTGGTGAAACGTTAAGGAATGAACTCGTCAAATGGAAGGAAATGATGAAAATGGTCTGGTATCGTAAAGGATCTTGACTTCTGAAAAATATAAAGAATCACGATAAGACAGTATGTAAATGGTATATTAATTTGTTTTATTAGGACAATTAGAAATAGCACTGAAAATCATATTCAGAAATAAATATTAATTACTCTCGATAATAATACTCTATCGATGATTAAAACGAAGAATGTTAGATACTACTCCGTTAACGGCAGTACGATCCTTAATGATTAAACGATAATTTCAGTCACAAATCAATCACCACTCTGTAATCAAAGCTCATTAGTACCATTATAAACGATAGAAAAAATCATGTTGTTCAAGATATCTTCGTCTTTCTTTCTCTCTCTCCCTCTCTCTCGTAAAAAGGATCAAACTGCTGAATTCATTAATTAGTCTAAATGATCTGTATCATTCTAGATCGTGCCTTTACGTGTAATTCTAATATTAGATTATACCTACGATTAGCACAATGTACCGAACGGTAAAAATCACAATGTAAATTTACGTCACGTTCAAACAGCACGCTTTTAAAAGTTTAATTAAATCACGTTTACCATGCTTCTTATTTATTCAAGCTGTTTTTCTCTCGAAACGAGCAACACCGTCAAGACTTTTGCACGATCATTTTGATTATTTTGCATTCACGCGCATCGCACTATGAACGTATGAAAAGTTTTCACATAAATTTCGCTCTATTTACATGACGTGAACGTTTATTGATTCGGAAGACTCATTAAACAAATGATTGAACTTGAAAGGTAAAACAATTCGTTTCTTCGTCGATGATGAAATCAGTAAAGAACCATTAAAAAGAAATGTAACGTTTTACTGCAAAAGTCTAGAAGGTAATATATCAAACTATTGATATGACGCCCCTAATACTTTATAAATTACTCATGAATGCTTCCTAATTTCGTTTTCTTGAGTACATACTACCGCTGAAAAGTATTTACCCACACACACCTTTTTCGTTAATGCTTTGACTGCCATGTTATGCATAACATGATGACGTATAAATTTTCACAAGAAAATCTTGCACAATTATACATCATTTTGTTTAATACTTGAACACGTGTTAGTAGACATTAAATATCATTGAAGATAAAAGATTAGATTCAGTCAAGATAAAACTATTGATTCGAAGAATATTTAGAAGGCAGTCAATGTATTAATTTTTCAAATTCCTTACGTCTACGTGTAAACTTATAAAAAGACAAACACTACTTCGCATGCTGCTTTATACAGAGCAAGAGCAGCTTCTTAAACTAATTAGAGAGACTGTGAAATTAACCATTATAATATCACGAAAGTGAACGGTATTAAATTTTCAAAGAAACTCTAGCATAAATTTTAGTAACATAGATTAATCGATACTCTAAATATTAAAAAAGACTAACACTGGGTAAATACTTTGTAGCCGTAGTAAATCGCATGATGCTCTTTTTCCACTGGAAACACTGAGTGGCAATTCCTTTTATCGAGTCGACTGAAATCTCGAAGGATTCGGTCTGGACAAAAGTTTAATCACGATAAAAAAGTGGTGTAAATGTATAAAAGTCCGATTCACGGATTAGAGAAACTTTTGTCCGTACCGTACTGTTTTAATCCGACGTACAGTCTCCTTAATTCAGCACCAACGTGCACGATAACAATTCATGAAGATCATCGATTCTGTATAACATCGCCATCTCCTACCAAACAAATTATTAGAAATTTCTTTACTCAACGCTATATTACAAAGTATTCGGTCTAATCGAATATCTGCGCGTACAAATTTGACAAGACTCAATCAACCGAGCGTGGTTTTAACTTGAATCTAAATTTTTGGTTAAACAGAACCTATGATCTTCACGAAATGCAATTAACAGCTTCGAAACGGATAGGACTGCATTGTTAAAAACACTCAATCGAATTATCTAGTTCAATTCTACGATTTCAAAAATTTTACTCGCATCTCCATTTTCTAGCTCTTCGTGTCTCTCCTACTTCTTAAATTAATCAAAGAAGCAATAAATAATTAATCGGTGAATCCTCTCAAGACGATACCCTAATGAGCTGTACTCTTTAGACAGACGTTTAGTTTATGCTATAGAGTTAATTAAATCGTCGACTCCTTTAGCCCAGTGAATCAACTGCGATCGTGCTGAGACCCTTTGGACTGATGGTGGTTTTGAATTGCTCTGGTATGGGATACTCCGCCTGTACAAACAGAAAACAAAATATAAGTACTTGAACTATAAGAAAAAGACGTGGAATATTATAAAGGGAATTCTTACATAATCTCCATTTCCTCGAGGTACCATGACATTCATCTCGCTAGACTTGCTGCTGATGAACTCCACATCCAACGATTCCGGGCTCAAGTACATCTGACATCCGTCTGTTTTATCGATGGATATAGTAGGGACTTTTCCAAGTACCTGCGATCAAAGACAAAGAAACAAATGAGTCGATTGGATAGAAGTTTGAAAATTCCGTATCACATTGTAGAGGGTAAAAGGAACAATTGCTAGTCGCGGTTTCTTTCGATTTCTCTCGTTTTACGAAATGCATATCCTGAATAATTGTATATAGAAATTGACTACTTCTTAAAACCAGTAGCTCAGATTTCTCAGTTCTTTTAACCGGTTTCAAAATGCACTGGCAACTTGGTAAGGTTTTGTCCAGATCTACAATAACCTCTAGCCTATATTTATTATTGCATAAAATAGAAGAAATCTCTGCTGCAAAGTTTGATCACCTATAATTCCAAGAAAATAGTGCGACACTTGCTCTGCAGATGATGGCATTATAAATTACCTAACGTGTCATTGTTATGTACAAACAGGAGGAAATCTGGAACCCGTGCAAATGATCTGTGAACTCGACTGGAGGGAATGCCCGAAAGCAATCGCGAACTACGTTTGGAACGAGATTGTAACCGACGTCCTCGACTGTTTGAACAACGAAGGCACAGTCTGGCGGGTACAGAAAACTATTATTATTGAATTGAAACGAACATAGCGGTCAGGTAAGTTCTTGAAGCTTTGACTCTTCTTGTTTTCCTATCTGAACGCTATGTTCATGATTTGTAAAGCGAACATTGGGGAAAGAGAAAGTTTAACGATATTCGTCGTGATAAAACTGTTAATATTTTCTTGTTGAAGATCTTAGCCGTAGTACTAGCGTGTACCATCTTGGTGCGCAAAGTATGCTTCAAAGCCAGAGAATTTATCGAGACAGCCGTGGATAAAGGGATGCTTGACAAGATCGGATACAAAATGGATGACCTCGAGCTGAAAGTTAATATACTGACGTACAAAATGCAATATGGAACTTGGCCTTTGCCCCATCAAGTTCAGAAATCGAATTTCAGGAAACATTTGAGAAATCTGAGACTGACCATGTCCAGCCCAAACGATCGAAATAATTGGATAAAACATGTGCTGTTAAGGTATAATTAGCATATACGATAATACTGGTAATCCATCTGCAACATTTCAATATAAAATCATTTTTAAATTCCTTAAACGCCTCTTAGGATTTCTTAGAACCTCTAATATCTCCTGCAGCAAGTATCTAATTTATTGAAAAATCATCTTTTCTTAGTCCCAGATACAACGAGTATGCTTCGTACCCAAAATACGATTACCATTCAGCACATCGACTAACAGAATTGTTCGATGCCAAGAAGAAGTTGGTGTATCCGTATCTACGACAGGAATGCTTGCCAATAGATCCTAGCAGTAAATCTTCTAAAACTAGCAGCGATAAATCTCTGAAGTACAGTTACTCTCCCAAGATACGATGATCCCTGTAAATGTCAATGTACGTTAAATCGCGTCTCTTTCCAGACTAAATTCGATATTCAAAAGAAAAGCGTACCGTAAACGACGAGAAGAAAAAAACGACAATACCGTAATGGAGTATCGAAACGCGATATCGCTTCCGTTGTTTTCGAAGAATAAGAAATCAAAATGTCTGAGGAACAAGGAAATGACTGGAGCTTGCAAGAAGTTCGTGAAGACCATGGACGAGTGCAAACGATATTTGAAAGAATTACATGATAGCAATAAAAATCTGGGCTTAGTGTGCAGTTCTTCTAACATAAGCAATGAATCCTCCATCAAGGATTGGTCAGACGTAGAGGTAAATGACGACGATTTGAAAGGTAATGGTACAATAATGATTGTTTGATGCTCTTACAGCAACAAGAGCAAGGCGAGAAAGAAAATGAACCAAATGAAATAACAAAGGAGATCATTACAGAAGAAGCGACGGATGTGAAGGAAATAGACACAAGGCAAGAAACTAGTGAAAAATGCAGCGAGTTGTCGAACGCTGTTTGTCCTGTGTTAAAGTCGAGCGATAAACGTATACTACCCTCAAAAATGAACGTAACATTCTGCGCCGACATGTTCCCACGATCATCTACCTCCAACATGTTAATACCAGAACCATGTGAACGAACGAAGTTTATAAAAACATCCCAAGAAGCTTTGTATAAGGTGAAAAAAAAACTGGAGAGTCTGCATAATGTTTTACGTAGCTATGAAATACAAACTGTAGAAGCAAAAACGTCAGCGAGATTAGAGGAGAGTAACAATAAAATAAACAGCATCTGCCAGAATGTAAATCAGACAATAGTCTCTGCTATAACGGAAGCTGACAAGTGGAGCGAAGGCAAGAAAAATAGAGTGAACTTTGATACTGATACAAGGAAGATGCAGCAAACAGTATGTAACAACTATGAGCATGAAGACAGTGATGCAACTGCCAATAATCCAATGAAGTCTATTCAAAGTTACTCCAACGTGTTCAATACATGCTCAATAAATAACTTGAATGATCCTCGCTGCTTGCTTTCGAACAATTCGCAATCGAAAATATATCCTTCCATCATTCAGCAGTTGGATTTGTTTCATAACGATAAAATTATATATTCTTCTGGCAGTAAATACGAAAAAGTGCCTGAAAGAGTATGTTACACTATTTCGTCTGATTCCGATGTAGGAAAAAATGATAAAATAGAAGCAACAGTAATAGATAATTTTGAATCCCTACCAGATATATACACTGACAAGAATCAAGCAAACCCGTTTGACTTTTCTGATCAATATCCAATTCCAGTGGAAACTGACGAAGACTTGATAATTACATCACCAACGTCGAGTCATACAGAATTATCGAAGGACAGCGAATCTGAAGATAAATCCACTGTAGTACTGCTTCAAGAAGCACTGCAATTTAAAAAAGCACTGTTAACACGTGTTCAGCTTGAGAAAGTATACATGGATGATCAGAAGGATGATACAAATAGTCAGACTATTATTGAATGTTGCAAGTATCCTTATGTTAACAATAATCTTCCATCAAAGTTGCTGGACATCATATCCGAAGAACAGTCTGTTAGCGGCTCTACAGACAGAACCAGTAGAACTTACATGTTTTATAATGAGAAACAGGAAAAAGAATTAGCACGCTCGTTAATGTTTAACGCTGATATTCCTAACATTCCACAACATGAGGTTAAGGATTCAAGCGTAAACAAAGGGTACTTGAGTTCAGAACACACTCTAAGTTCACCGTCAGAATATTTCAGCTTCACTAATATGCTTCAAGATGAAAGTAGAGGTAATAATAATCAACTGTCTTCATCGAAACAAAATTATTTGCATCAAAATGCATCCACAGGACTGATTTCTGCTAACGAGCAAATAAATTGTTTTAACAATGCTTCAGAAAAATCTAATGCAAAACTTAGAGAAACGAATTATACAAATTGTTTAAATACTTCAAATACAAATATGAATGAACAAAAAACTTATTATGAATTTATACATGAAAAAGAAAATTTTGAAAATCAATCAATGCATCTAAATAACAGAAATGAATTTATAAATCAAAGTATTCAGAGCATGGAATTATATTCAGAAAATTTAGATGAAGTTCCTTCGAACGAAGACAATCAAAATGTAAGTGTAGGTATTACTTCTAATATTTTAAACTCTGATCGATATAAAAATGTGTCTTATAATAAGAATGCAAACAACAATGTACTAAATACAAAGAAAAATGTAGCAATTGGTAAAAAATACATTGGAAATAATGGAAATCCAATGCACGCTCCAAATTTAAATTTAAAAAGGCATCTAGGGACATGTTCACTGATCGAACAAGTATTAATAACAGCAAACATTAAGAAAGAAACAGAAACAAATACAATGATTGAAAATGAAAATGCAATGTATGAATTGTCACCCACAGAAAGCAAAGAAACTTCAATTGAAACAAATTTAATACAGGATTCATTTACATCCAGCATTAATCAGTCAAACGAATCTAATATTCCTGAACCACCGTCCGTAATGGTGCTTATTAATAAATCATCGGACGAAGAAAAATTAAATTTAAATTGGTTAAATGTTAATAATAAATATAGCGACGAATGTGTTAATGAAGCAGATATAAAAAGATTATCCACGAGTACGATTACCCTTAAAAAACACGACACAGCAAATACAGAAAATTACACCAAAGAAGAAACATGTAATGATTACAAAGTTGTGACAAGTGATCAAAACAATCAATTCAAAAATGAAAAGAAAAATTCAATCATAAAAGATTCATTTATAAGTTTAGGTAAAGAAAGTCTAAATAATCAGACAGAGTACTATAAATCTTACTCCACTCTCATTTCTCCACACAGTAGTTTATATTTTACGGATGAAGCATCGAACTCCACTACTAAAATGAGCAATAGTCACTCAAAAAATCTTGAAAACCATTTACATCGTAATTTGCATGAACAAAAAAGTAATGAAGAAAAACCATGCTACAAAGGTGAAACTTTAAAAGAAACTATGTCAAGTGAAAATAAAACAACGAATGTTGCAATGACACAAAGTAATGAAAGATCACCTAAACAAAAATTATCAAGTTCCAAAAGTAATGCATACAGTAACAATGATGTATCTTACGCTAAAAATTATATACAAAACGCAAATATATCAGAAAATGAAAAAACACCTTCTATCGGAGACAGTCAAGGGATCACTGATAAACCTTTAATCTCGTATAATGATAGTAATAACAACAACTTACAATCATCAAGAAGTATGAATATTACATCAAGCAGAATAGAAAATTTCCCTGAAAGATTAAATCTAGACCACCAGCACTTCTCACCTTGTATTTCTCCTCGTGAAAGGGAAGTGAACAAAAATGAAGCAATGAAAAGATCAAACGTAACAGTACAATCAAAGAGCAACGAAAACTATAATCCAAAATCTGAAAAACTGAAAAAATCTGAGCTGATACACGATGATCAAAACAGAAATGAAGGTAATAAAAATTCAATGCATGTAAGAGCAGCGAATACTACAGAAAACAGAGTTAAAATAGATAAAAAGAGATCCAGGTCACAGATTAGTATTCGAACAAACGAATCACCAAAACAAGTTGCATTACAATCACACGAATCTCCAAGAAATATAAATACCATAAATTACACACAGTCCATGGAAAATAAATTGAAATTAAAAGACTTAAAATATTTGTCACCAATACCGAAGACATCTTCAAAATCTTGTATACCAATTTTGAAAAGTAGATTAGAAGCAGCTCGACGATCAGAAAATGAAACGCGACCTAAAAGTCCAATGAGAGGGCCACTAACGATGACTATGTTTTGGAAAGACAACTTGTGTAGTAAAAATGACAGTGTGATGGAGGAGATTCAAGTAGAAGGTAAATCAGGAAATTATAATCAATACATAGAAGTAAACAGTTATGGAGAAAAATCAGGTGGTAATAATAATCATGTTGATACTATGAAATCATCAAATATTCTACAAAACACGATTGAAAATATTGGCAATAACATTACACAGCCAGAACAAATGGTAATATATGTTAACATATTCACAAAACATGATCATAATACAACAAAAATAGTAGATCCGAATAAATTTTTGAAATATATTAAGAATAGAGAATTAAAGATGCAAAACACCGAAAAGAGTCAATGGGAGAATGTAAAAAATGAAGTTTGTGAACCCACAGCAGAGAACGAAAATAGTACAATGCATAAAATTGTCACTATTGTTTCTTCTGTTATAAACGGTAACGAATTAGAGAATATGTCTACCAACACGTCTACTACAAACACACAAAGTGAATCGATATCTAACGTCATAACGAGTAATGAATTACGAAATTTGTGTTTCCTGTCTGTTGAACAACGAGAGATCGACGTAACTGCTAAACCATCCGTGATCGATACAAGTACTTCAATCTCGGATTTAAAAAATATTTCAGATACAGAAAGCGCATTAAGTAAGTTTCAAATATGTGGAATACCCAGAGAACTAAATAACGATGAATATGTGACGTTGTTAGAAATTCTTCATCAAGAACCAAATTGTGTACATCTACAAGAACTTCAAAACGTCTGCAAAAAGCTCGTATCAGAAGAATTAAAATCAAAGTGACATTGTGTCGCAACAGTTATTATCTGTCTGAATTTGTAAAATTCATAATCAACAATTATTGCTATATATTTTTAATATCATACTTTTATTTTCGGATACAGGACGTGTGCTCCATGCAATTATACCGTGTATATATGTATACATTTGGAAATAAATATACTTTTTACATATTATATCAAACTTACCATCGTATGATAGTTCATTTTTTATTATTAATAAAAATATATAAACATACCTGCATTTGTACGCTCTGGCAGTTGACAAATTCGATGCTCGATACAACAGAGTCAAAAACGACGGACGATTTGCGACATGAATCCATAACAACGGAATTAACTTTGCCTTTAATAACTAAAGTACTGTCTTGACATCGGAACATGTAGATCACGTTGTTCATCTCCACGTTATCAATGACCAGATCTTTGTTACCTTTATGGTATTCCTACAGTAATAATAATATGTTTGTAAATGTAATAAATATTTTACCAAGATAAAAGAATAAATGCCATTACATACCACGAGCCACTTCTTTCCATCCCTGGTAAATACAGGTGGTTTGTCAATTGGAGCATTGGCAGGTGGTACCATTTTTGTTGGTACAGAATTAGCAACTACTGGCGCTTTAAATGGTGCTGGACCAGTCCTCAAAGAAGGATTTTTATGTGTCTGCATATCAGATGTTACTTTCTTCAAATCTATAAAATATACATAAGTTTTAGTGATCAATTATATTTGAATATTTTACTATTGTGCTATATTTACTCTTTGTAATAGCTTCCCCTTGGTTGATTTCGGCAAAAAGAGCACTTCTATCGTCAGCAATATTGGCTGGTGCTACATCTCCCATAGGCATACATGGCGGTGGAGGTGGTGGTATGCCTACTGGTGCAGAGCCAGTTTTTGCCCATACTAGTCCTGTTGTGTGATGCTGACGTACATACTGCTGAAGATCACTTAACGTTTGTACCCAAGCTTTACACCATTCGACGTGTACTTTATCTCTGTGGATACAGAAAAATAATTACATTCTACATCAGTAATTAAATTTTTATTTTAACTATTCACGATGTAACCGTACTTTTCTTTCCAATCTTTTAACACGCGATTAGTATAAAATTGTCCAGCATCGTTCATTTCTTTTACATAAGGTGCTGGTGTAGGAGAAACAGCAACCCATCCTAAAGCTGGGATACTTTCACTAATTGCTGACAAATGATTGAAAAATTGAGAACCCCTATTTTTCTCGCGGAACTCTTGAATCTGTTGAATTTGTGTAGATGTAGGTGCAAGAAGAGCAACTTGTTCCGTTTGATTTGTTGGAGCTGGACGACTTGCTGCAGTCCGAATAAATTCAAGTTGAATTCTGTGAATGAAATAATACTTGATAAGCCATTATAAACGAATAATAAACGCATTAAGCATTTTAAATAGAACAATAGCAAATTACTTACTGAAATGCTTTTTCTACAAGTTTACTATGAGTAGCTACATCTCCACCAATTTTTGCACTCAGTTGTAAATACTCTCTTACAGGACCAGCCAAAAGATCTTCATAGCCTGCGACAGACATGCTGGTAACTTGATTCTTTGAATGAACAGGCGAAGCAGACTGTACTGATTCACTGTTTTTCGCTAACTGAGATCTCTTTGGAGACGGTGTGCTTGTCTGAACTGCAGAGTCTTGAGTTTCAGCCACTGACTGAGTTCTAACGTTTTCCAATCTTCTAGTGACAGTCTCCAATCTATTTACCAATTCTTCCAAGTGGTCCTCTTTGTCACTAGCTTCGCAACCTTCAATTAAAATAGGCATTATAAAGTATTACGATAAAAGCAACATAATATTATTGGTATTAAAAGATAATAAATTTTATGAATAAAATAATGGCATTCTTTAATTATTTATTGTTTATAAAGTAATAAAATAATATAATAATTTATTATATTATCTTATGTAGCATTATGTAATTTTATATTACTGTATAATATAAAAATTTCAATAATCAGAAAAAGTGCACTCCAGAAAATTCGCATTTATACTGGGTATATTAAATATAGAATGAGTTTATAAATAGTTATGTCAACATCCACAGCCACTAGATCATTATGTTGCAAGCAATGCACAATGTTAGAAATAGACTAGTATTTTCTTAGAGACATATAAAATATTTGTACAGAATAAATTTATCAAAATCATTGTCAACTATCACAGGTTGAAGTATGAAGTACTTTATGAATACAAGTTGCATAAAACGAAGTGGACGGAATATAAATTTTGTCACGTATTATGTATAGTATTAAGATCTTAATAAAAGGATCAATAAAATCTACTACAAACATGCAAATAAATTAATTCGTTACCGCTGCTTCAGTCCAACATCAACAAATTTACTCTTTTTATTAAAAAATATTCCTGCAGAGACAATAGTTTCGTTCACGCAAGATCTCGCCTTTTCGGAAACTCGTGAAGAACTAAACCGCGGTTGTAATGATATTCGACGCGGGTATGTGTCGGCCTATTCTTAGGAAATCTGCGAAAATTGAATCATGCGTGGGTAGACATCATTTCGTATGGATTTCACGTATTCATAAACATCAAACAATTAAATATCTTGTGCGTTTAATATAAATGTAGCTAAATAAATTAAGAACAGAATATTTCATAATGAACGTAAATACAAACAATGAAAATATGCATATTTATGCTTATAATTAAAAAAGAAAAAATTTTGTACAAAAAGAAGAAATTATTTATTCTGCGAATTGCCCAAAAAAAACATATTTACTTTTTTTTCTTTATCGTAAAAAGATGCTCGTGAAAGTACACGATCGAGTTGAAAGGTAAATAGGTCAGAGACTGTAAAAATAGAACGACTAAGGACGAAACACTACACCGGATGGTAACAATATATTATAAAAGAATGAAAGGTTTTGAAAGCGTCGAGTTCTTTGTAGCAACTCGGAAACAAATGATTTTAGCGGTAGACGGATCCCGAGATAATACTATAGCATAATACTATAGCGTATCCTGATATACTATCCACGACATTTCAAAGGTTTCTTGACCCAGCGATTCAAGTGTATCTGAGAAATATTCATAAATCACGTTATCAATTTGCATAACTAATTCGGTAAAAAAATACAGATATATATATGCATGTTTAAAAAACTAAATCATACCAAATGCGTGATGTAAGTGTAATATCGGTATTTGATTACATCGTGTCGAATAAAAATAAATAGAAAGGAATTACTTCAAGCATACTTAATACATCAAAGTCAGCAAAAAACAGATCTGCAATAAAAAGCGGATAAAGTAAGAAATGAATATAAGGTGAGCCCTAACCGGTGTGTACCATCGGTCCTAGAGGGTCAAACCTCACTCTGTGCTCCGACGCATTTTGTGCGGCATGTAATAAATCGGAGAAGAATCTATGACGTCTTAAAGCTAGTTCATCGCGGGCAACCGGCGTCGCCGGTGGTTCCTGCATTCCACTGCATTCTTCCGAATCGTGTTCGCCATCTTCCTCCTCCGATAGCCAGCGAGGAACAGACGAAACTGCGCATCGTACATTATAATATAGATCCGAATATAAAACATATACATATGCGTAATTTATCAAATCCAACTTTCTCGCAATACTTTGTTTGAGATCCCCAAAGTGCTATCTGACTCGAAAGTCGCGAACTTCTACCTCTTAAAATATATTGCAAGTGTAAGAGTGGCGAAAAATTACTGTTTTCAAAAGTGATTCCCAGCCTACACAGTTTTGGAAATTTCTGCTTTAGCCAATATGAAAAACTTCATCCCGAAATTATGACGTAATTTTCATTTTTACATTTCTACCACAATTATCATTAAAGATTTTAACAAATTTAATCGGTAATTCTCGCAGAAAGAAGAAATTGAGAAAATTGCATTTTTTCTGCCAATAGGAATAGTACATCGCATCAATAGAAATATACCTGTCGGTATTTTTTTATTCGAACTGCTATCGTTTGGACAAGCTTCAAAAACAGAATCGTCACCTTCTTCCTCTGGTCCGTCATCGATCGTTCTCTCGATGTACGCAGAACAGTCGTAAAGATTCGTTTTAACGATGCTGGGAATCCCAGAATTCAGTATCACTTTCATCAATCCACCCCCGCTATCCCCTTCATCCTTTTCACATATATTATCGCCTTCACACACCTCTCCATTTTCATTTAAATCCTTAATTCCATTTACTTCTCCTCTTCCCTCCTTCATTCGATCAACCTTATTCTCGATACCATCGTCATCCTCGTTAACGTTCGATTTTACTATCGATTCGTTTCTTGATCGAGAACTATCGTTTACATCGTCTCGCTTGCCGGAGGGCAGCGGGCTCTTGACAGTCAAATCGTCAACCACTTCTACGGAATTGTTTTCCATCGATGGAGAAACTTTCTCGAATCTCTGCAAGTCACCGTTCAACTTCTCTTCCCGGTTAGGCAAACCGTTTTCCTCTGTTCTCGTTGAATCGACATCAACTATCTGCGAGTTCGTCACTTTCTGACTTTGCTTTGGCGTCAACTTCGTCACCTCGCCGTTCGACTTCTCCTTCTTTGTGCTCTTGTTGCACACACAGCATTTAAACATCGTCGATATCGATTATAGATTTCCGTTGTATCAGCAATAAACTCTTTTCGGCGCTTTCAACCGAACCTCGATGATTTTTAAAAGGATACCACCCTCGGTACACTCGATATCGCTTTACTCTCCGATAGTACCGTCCACTATCGATCCGTCCCGATCGATCGATTCAAATGAGCGATAAATCAATTCAGACTTACCGCTCGAATCATCGAAAGTAATAAAAGATTGTCGATGTAAATATAATCGAACTTGTAACAGTGTAAAATATCGATTGTTAATTCGAGTTAAATATCGTACTTTGAATAACGATTATCGTAAAATTGACTATCGCTTCTTAACACATAACAATTATTTATTCCGTAATAGGTAACGATTGTTGACTTCGAATATGTATACATATAAGAAACTAATAACGACGAATAATAAGAACACTTTTTAAAGTTTAAATCCAAATTTAACGCTGACCTCTCACAGCCAAGGATATAACCAGTACTTGAATATTTTATTCGAAGCACACGTGCTACTTGTCTTTTTCAGTCACCGGAAGTAGGCAACCGAATATTTCATTTCAAGCGAATTTCCCACGGGAATCACCCACTGTATACTCGAGTTACATTTACTCACAGCCAACCTAAGTGTATGTACATTCACGTGCAATGTAGGCTTTTTTTGGACGAACTACTAGAGTATATATTTTCCACTACTCGCCTTTAATTTTGAGAGATTAAATGTGTAGCCCAAAAATTTCAAAGATCTTAAACTTTCAATTTTCTAAACGTAACCAAGAAAACCTGCTTTGCTCGCCAATCGTACGTTGTGCGCGTTAATACTATAAATTATTAATGACGTTCGCACTACAGCAAAAATAGTGATAATACAATTAATTAACACCGTTTATAGGTTAACCACCTAACGTTAACAGCCAACATATATCGAAGAAGCTATATTTATATGTATTTCCAACGTAACAGAGATAAATTGTTTACATCATTTCCACAAAAATCGTTTAATCGTTCCAACGACTATAATCATCACATACGAGTTGAATCAACATCAATGCTCTCATCCAAGATACAATATTTTTTGCGATAGAATTATATTTTCAAGATATCGCAGCTAAACAGGAACAATACGTTTTCCCCGCGAAATTTCCTTGAGGGCGCGATGATCGATCCCAACAACGCCCAAGTTTACGTTTTTGAGATCAATCTAGCTAGACCGGAGTAACTTTTCAAGTGATGATATTTCAAACACTTGAAACAAGTAACATGTAAAGAAACAAACAACTTTTAATTGTACAAATTTATCCCGAAATTCAGTGTCATTAATAATTTCTGGTTATAGATAATACGGAAACGACAGAGAGCGAATGTACACCCTTCCTACAAATACAATGCACCCTTCCAACCGTATCACGTTTCTCAATCGCATAACAAAAACTTAGCAATTAGATAGCTCGTAGGTACACGCATAGGTAAATAACATCATAACCACATGTCGTTTCAAAACATAAAAGCAACGCGATATGTAAGATCGTGAACGAATCAACATTTGATCATCAAAGAAACTTTGCGTTCATTTACAATGAATCACTTTTACCGACTGGATTGTGCACAGTGTAATTATTATGTAAATTGATACTGTCCTCAGAACGATTATTTTGCACCGGCAACGGATTAAATTTCACAGAAAAGATTACGTGACATACATTAAAATAGTATCAATTTAACGCGTCGTTTAATTAACGAAACGTTTGTTAGACCATTTGAACTGCTGCACCAGAACGCCCAAATAAAGAAGAATGTATTCGCGTCACTTCTATTTATTCCAATTTATTCGCACTTGACAGACGATCAGTTTCGAATTAGTACACACGTTGCGGTTTGAATTCGGTTTAAAAAAAACCGTAAGGGCGGAGTGACTGCCCTGAAAAACAATCTACTTTGGAAGCAATCGGCGTAATACTCAACCGTTTCTAGTTTCGACCGGCACTCTGCGGTGCTGCCGCAGGGTGGTCGAGACCCGAAATTGTTGCAAGTTTCTTGGATAAGGAGCCACGTGCACCGCAGGACTTCCAAAATTTGACATTGTTTCTGACTAATCTATTCACTATCGAGTTACAGAAATGTTTCTTCGAAACTGAGAACATTCGATGCCTTGTCACTCAGCATGGAAAGTTACATACCATTAGTAATACATGTTTGTTAGATACATAGGGTGATTCACCCTATAAGGTGTGTCATTTATATCATCAGTGAAAGTCAAACAGTCATCGTGTGTCGAACATTCCTAAAACTAGCTAAACGCAATTACTAGTATATGTCAAAAGAAAAAATAATGATTTATCAAAAATATAAATACTTAAGCACAGGGCCCTAAAATGCTAACAGCGTTACTGTTGTAAATTCTACTGCTAGCGCACCTACAAATTGTATTTAATTTATTTCTTATCAAGTGTATGAATAAACAGTATCTACTGATAACAATTTTTATCTAATACCTATGAAATGATAAATCGAAGTATTAAGTACAGTCGATACAATTGTTATATTAATTATGATGTAATTAGGAATAGATTTCCTAATTATAAAATAAAAATTAAGTCATACTTACGACTTTTCCACATATTTAAAACTTTTTTATAAGCACCGGGTACCATTCGACGATCATCGTTTACTTTATGATTTTCTGACATTTTTTAATTCTTCACGTCACTATATACACAATTATGATAACAAAAGTCTGTATTTAAAATGTGAGAACTGATTTGTTTAACGTATAACCAATAAATAACGCGCTCGTCTCGTCAACATGATACAAACAAATACGATAAAAAAATCTGTACATAAAATGTGGGAACTAATTCATTTGATGTGTAACCGATGAATGATAATAACGGACTCACTTCGTCAGCTTTCACGATGGAATTTTAATCTCGCGTCAGAATCACAGGACCGTATCATATATCCAAGCTAATGGTATAAAATTTTAATAATGAATTTCTTAATACAAATTACGAAATGATTAACACTATTACTCTAAACATGGAAAAGCTGAAAACATTGTTACAAGTTATTGCATACCATTTTCTATGCCAAGCTTACAAACTGATTTATTATATATTTTACTAGCATATTTTTACGGACAATAAATTTTTACCGATTTTCTTAAAAGTACTCGTGAATGTCAAAATTAAAACAAATATCGTAGTTTTTATAGCAACGGAAAAAGTACGTGCTGATAATCTGGATATTTTACCTAATAAGGTATTGTGCAACGCTTTGATATGGAAAAACATTAAAATACGTTACCTAGGTGACAATTGTCAGGTGCAGCATAGTATAACTCACACTGACTCATACCTGAAACGCTGCAGGAGATGCACACAAGCATAACCATGTACATAACCAACCTAAACTTACCTTTTTCATCTTTCAACAAATATGATTCTACCTCAATCAATCATTTGTACAGAATATATTAAACTTTTCGCACATACATCTACAGTTACGTGTATATTATTTACATGTATGTAACTTTAAAATGCGTTTAATGTAAACTATGGAAATTCGTAAATAGCAATATGTTTTTAGAACCGTTAATTGTATCTAGCGGCTGTGACATGTATTTGCAAGAAGTATTTACTCAAAATAAATAGGCTTACCTGTTAATATAAAGTTTTATCGAAGTTCGGCATACACTGTCACTTTGTGACAATCGATTCAACAACACAACAAACACAATGCACAAGTGCCAAGAGTTCAATCTGACAACATTACTACACACACTAGGGCGTTTGCCGGATACCGGAAGTACTGTTCTTGCTATTATGAGATTTTATTACTCGTACCACGATAGAACGTACTTACATAGCGCACCTCGACTAATTTCGGTAGCATTCGGTAGGCTCCCCACTATTTAACGTTGTTCTACTGCAGTTCGTCTTCTGCTCTGTAAGTTGTATATATGGTGGACAAAATATAGGAATAGCAGTTAGAAACATAGACTACAGATTTAAAAAATTTGAAATTGTAGGACGCTAAAAAAATTTGAAGCGAATGTCAAACAATTACCATTTTCAAAAATAGCTCTCAATTCACAAGAATTTAAGAAATTTTTGAAAAATTTGAAGAACGTAGATAGACGTTTATATGCTTATAAAATGAGGAACGACTGAGTATATGAGTTTAGTGTTAAACGCCATAAGTACGCATGCGCATTATTCTTGGTTATGGAATGTGTTGAACCAATTAGGGTCAACGTGCGCAGAACACGCAAAAACTCGTCGTGCATTAAGTATGATCTTTCGTGAAACGAATAATTGAATTGGTGACCGCACATGCGCTTACATTCAAATTTTTATCTTTAAAACAAAACTGTTCTTATCTTTTACGGAAGGATATAAATTATACCGCAAATATGAATCAGCAAGAAGTATCCTTACAAAATAATTCACTGCATTCATAATCTATTTGATTTAGTGTCATCCACGCAGTCTAAATAATACAGTTTTGTTCATGTTTTAGTAAGGAATTGTAGATGAAAATAAGCAAATAAAGTTTATATGTCAGGCTTCAAAATAAAAACGTTATCTTATGATGATACTTCGAATATTCCGCCGTTAGGTGCTGCCATCTTGTGCTGATTTAGTTCTTTCAAAGTATCTGCAGTAATTACGCTGATACGCTTACTGAAAAATAATTTTATCTAATATATTATTTAACTGCTATCATGATGTCTAAATTTTCTCAGTACTTCATATTATCGATCTATTTTTAGTTGTAATACACCCTTGTGTAGTTACTGATAAAAGTCAGGTATGATTTTAGTATAAGTATATATTTTTTAAAAAATCACTGCAACCACTTTTTACTTTATTTTTACAGAAAAATTAATAAAAACAGGGTACACAGGACACTGTCTGAACAAAAATATGAGCACAAAATTCTTGTTTATTGAATCAATGGAAATTTGGAGTACTATACCTCAATATCATACGTTATTGGAGACATTCTTGGTTCTTTGGGTGATATGGTTTATCGCTAAGAAATATTACGGTAATGCTAGAAGAATACCAACAGAAGATGAAATTAAAAAGAAACTTCTAGAATGGCAGCCTGAACCTTTGATAACTAGTTCACAGCCAAATCATTCATCATTAAGTCCAAGATGCGTAACATCCAGAGCTGGTAAAAGCATAGTAGTTAATGGGAAAGAATGTTTAAATCTTGGTACACATAATTACTTAGGTCTGATAGAAAGTAATGAAATAGAAACAAAAGCAATAGCAGCAGTAAGAAAGTATGGAGTAGGCTCTTGTGGACCACGAGGATTTTATGGTACTGTTGATGTTCATTTGGAATTAGAAGAACATTTGGCTGATTACACAGATACAGAAGAAGCTGTAGTATATTCATATGGATTTAGTACAATTGCATCTGCAGTTGCAGCATATTGTAAACGTAGAGATCTTGTATTTGTAGATGAAAAAGTAAATTTTGCTATACAAAAAGGATTAGATGCAACTAAAGCTAATATCATCTATTTCAAGCATAATGATGTTAATGATCTCTCTAGTTTACTAATGAAACAGGCAAAACTTGATGAACAAAATCCGAAGAAAGCAGCTAAACTTAAACGTTTTCTAATAGTTGAGGGTATTTATATGAATACTGGAAATATCTGTCCATTACCACAGTTAGTTGCACTTTGTAAGAAATATAAGTTAAGAATATTTATCGATGAATCGATATCATTTGGAACTCTTGGTAAACATGGAAAAGGTGTTACTGAGCACTTTGGTGTCCCTAGACATGAAATCGATATGATTATAGGTGAATAATTTATGAAGCTTTTACAATTAACAAGTACTTATATTTGAATCTAATTTTTTTTGTCTACGTTTTAGGATCTCTAGATTGGGCAATAGGATCTATTGGTGGTTTTTGTGTGGGCACATCATTTATTATTGAACACCAGCGGTTATCTGGACTTGGATACTGTTTTTCTGCATCTCTGCCACCTCTTCTAACAGCTGCTGCTATTACGTCTTTAGAAATCATGAAAAATAATCCACAGATATTTAAGTCATTAAAAGACAATTGTATAGCCATACATGATGGACTTCAAAATGTCAATTCCTTAGAATGCTTAAGTTTTCCAGAGTCTCCAGTAAAGCATGTATACTTGAAAGAAAAACTGGATCGTAGCACAGAAGAAAAATTACTTTCCAAAATTTCAGATAAATGTATCGAAAATAATGTAGCGATTATACCTCCTGCATATTTAGAAGCAGAAAAAAATTTACCTAGGCCTAGTCTCAGACTTTGTGTCTCCACTCTCCTTAACAAAAGTGATATTGATTTTGCCTTGAATGTATTAAAAAAATGCACCGACGAAGTTTTATCAATATAAATCAAAAGACAATCAAAAACTTTTTAAAGTAGTATATTTTACATGAATATTATTTCTTATCATTTCCATGAATTTATACACTCATTGCAGTTGTAGGAAAATTGTTACTAATTCTATAAGCAAAACATATTATTTTCCTTCTACAAATATTATTTAATATCATTCCACTTTGATATTGTGATAAATATTTTATATCAATTGCTGGCTTAGAAATTTTTCTGAAGTTAAAGTTTGTATGTTATTTTATCATATGTTTACGATATCAAAAAAAGCAAAGAAATACAAAGTACAAAATGAAATATGTAAATAAATTTGTGTTTTATTCCGTGTTATGCATATATTTATTTTGTTATACAATAACATCAATATCATAAATGTTCTACAGAACATCTATATGTAAGTTATACTTCAACTCCATGTTAATAATTTATGCTTCAATTGATAATAAATGATAATAAACTATTTTATGAAATATAAAATATATCTGTGCAAAAATTTATTTAAAAATGTCTCTTTTTATTTACTTATATTCACTAAAAGTGCTATTTACAATCAGTAAGTTATCCGAGTTCATTATATACATATTAAGAAATAACATGAAATTCAGTAATTTTATAAGTTATTCAAATCACAAACGTGTTTGAAAAGAAAAATTTTCGCGGGCGATGATGTATTTCCTGTAGTACACATGAAACTCGTTACAAGACTTCCTCTTTCTTATCCATTGTACCCTTAAACGTTGCCGAGGTGAGTAAACTCGCGTATCTGTTTAAATAATGAAATATTTTAAATCATTAGCTAAAAATATTAAGTACTAACTATATATATTTATATATATGTATATAAATTTTAGAAAATTAAATTTTCGTTTCCTTTTTTTCATAAAATTCAGAATAAGTAGGTTTTCTAAGGTTAGCGTACCATGTGGTCACATGAAATTTATGTAACATATAAGCATTTTATTATTAAACATAATGTGTATATTTGAATGTTAATTGAGGTATAATGAAAATTATATGATGATACAATAATGCGTCTGAAAAACCGAGAACCACACAGAAGCTAGAAATAGCGGAACCCATCTGTGTGCGGTTTTAAAGATTATACGTTGCATGTATGCAGTCTGATATTAACTCATGTAATGAATTTTGTATTAATTACGATAAATTTAATATTAATAAGTACATGTTTTTTTACAGTCCTTAAATTGTTTAACTGTCCCTACACACACATCAAGATGGGTAGGGAGGACAAGGCAACTTGGAAATCTAATTATTTTACAAAACTTGTGGTAAGTATTTCTGAAGCACTTCGTATTTAACTGTATATTTATGCGATCATATTATTCTCACCTAAAATTTATATTTTTAGCAACTTTTGGATGATTATCCTAAATGCTTCATAGTGGGTGCTGACAATGTTGGTTCTAAACAAATGCAACAGATACGTATGTCACTTCGTGGAAATGCCGTGGTACTTATGGGAAAAAACACAATGATGAGAAAGGCAATTCGTGGTCATATTGAACGTAATGCTGCACTTGAAAAACTTCTCCCACATATTCGTGGAAATGTTGGATTTGTTTTTACTCGTGGAGATTTAATTGAAGTAAGAGACAAACTTTTGGAAAATAAGGTCAGAGCCCCAGCTAGAGCAGGTGCTATTGCACCACTGAGCGTTATAATTCCTGCTCAAAATACTGGACTTGGCCCTGAAAAAACTGCATTCTTTCAAGCTTTAAGCATTCCCACTAAAATTTCCAAGGGTACTATTGAAATTATTGTAAGTATCCAATTTAATTTAATAATTTATGTTTATATGTGTTATATTTTAAACAGTACATATATATTTATAATATTTTAGAACGATGTACACATTTTGAAACCAGGTGACAAAGTAGGTGCATCTGAAGCCACTCTTTTGAACATGTTGAACATATCTCCATTTTCGTATGGTTTAATTGTTGAACAAGTGTATGATTCTGGTACTATCTTTGCACCTGAAATCTTAGACATAAAACCAGAAGATCTTCGTGAGAAGTTCATGGCTGGAGTAGCAAACTTGGCTGCAGTTTGCTTGTCTATTGGCTATCCTACAATAGCCAGTGTTCCACACAGCATTGTTAATGGATTCAAAAATCTGTTGGCTATTGCTGCTGTCACTGAAATTGAATTTGCAGAAGCTGCTACAATCAAGGAATACATCAAGGTAAGTCCTTTGTAGTATAATACTAACATTTATTGAATACCATATATGATGAATCATATATGTCTTAATGTCCTATGTAATGGAACCAGCACTAGAAATAGTAGAACCCACTGGTTTCTTAGGATTTTTGTTGAAAAAAAGCACGAATTGCTGTCTGAAATGAAATAATATGTTAAATATGTTTCCCCAAAACTGTATGTTATATTTAATAATAATGTTTTTGTAGGATCCAAGCAAATTCGCCGCTGCTGTTACTACTGCTGCACCAGCTGCTGTTGCTGCAGAAGCTCCTGCTGCAGAGAAGAAAGAAGAAAAGAAAGAAGAATCTGAATCAGAAGATGATATGGGATTCGGTCTCTTTGATTAAAATGTACATGTATAAACATATATACATTCAAGATAATTTAATTGAAGTTATAACTTTGATATTTTGATAAACCGAATCATGAAAATATAAAAAATGATGACATACTAATTGTGGTTGAATTTTCCCATTTTCTATTGATAATAAATCAAAACCTTTCGTCATTTGCCAACTATAGATAATTATATTACAAACATAAGACCTTCATAATGAAAGTGAGACCAATCCACTTTCCTTGAAATGATAAATTCATTATAAATTAAAATTTCGTGTCTAATAAGTCTAAAATAATACAATAAATCTTTCTCAAACATAAAATTGCCCCACCCTCACAACAAACAGTTCATATATTGAGTAACTTGATTGCAATGTATGAGGTAATTGGTATCAATTAAAACTCGTATCACATCATTCAGAAAGTTTATTTGTTGAGTTTCTTTATTGCACACTTAAGTTATATACAAGATAAAACATTAATAGTAAAGCATGCTGCACAAAAAAGATAGGTATATCTGAAGTTTTATCAAATGAGAAATGACTTAACAATATCTTGAGCCGATATCTCCGAGCGTTTGTAGTTACAACATTGTGGTAGGAGTGCGTGATTACCTGGTATTTATATACCATTGAAAGTGACGGGATAGATCGTAGATGACTGTAGTTAGTCTATAAAGCGTTAGTAGTGCTGTACTTAATTCTGTTGCAAAATTTTCGTGATTTCTTTGGCGTCAGTAACGTTGTGCTTCGGTGTAATTCGGCAGAAATCGGGTTAAGTCGATTTTGCGCGAAATTCTATTACAATTGTTAAATTTTAAAAAACTCCCATATTGACTAACCTCTACGAATATGGGTTTACTAACCGAAGGAAGTCCTTTAAGTTGGGAAGAAACAAAAAATCTGGCTGACCACGTGCGAAAACACGGAATCATTCAATTTATTAATTTGTACAAAAGGCTCAGAGATAGACAAGGTGATATACTCAAATGGGGTGATGAGGTAATGACTATTTTATGACTTTGTTGATTATTCGATTTTATTTGCAATATTGTTATGAGGTGTGATAAGTGAGTTAAATAACGATGAAGTTTATTAGCTTAACTTATCTACCTTTTTTTATGAAAAATACAGAAGTATAAATTGCGCAACATTATTTGTTTTTAATGCAAGAATTAATTGTTTTAATTGCAGAAGAAATTGTATTTTTATAATCATAAATTAGCGTTTAAATTAATAAATCAGTATGTTATACTATTCTATATACTATTACAAAACAGTATCTTTTCATTGCATTTATGTTTTATGTTTCACTCTTGAAATTCTTCTCATTAATATATCTTTTTTATTTATTAGTTATTTTAATGGTACTAATGCCACTTAGTTATATTTTAATTCATTATCAGTCAAATGTTAACTACTGTAATCAACAGATGTTGCAAATAATTATGGTTTCTGAAGTATCATAAGTCTGACCTTGAATTTTCTCCAATTACAGCTTAACGTTTCTAGATACATGAGTTGACACTTTTGCATTTAACTAAGTAAATATTATAGATAAGTTGATAAATTTATGCAATGTATGCCAGCAAATTTTTTAAACATATTACTATATTCACATTAACAATTAAAATTGAATTGTTTTAATACTTTTTCATTTTACCTTACTTGATTTAAAATAGGTGGAATACATGATTATTAAATTTGATGATGAAGCAAAAACTGCAAAACTTAGTTTAAGAGGTGGAGAATTACTAAAAACGTTAAATGAAAAAGAATATAATGATCCAGAGTAAGTATTCTAAGATACTAAAGAACCCATAAAAATTACAATTACAACTGTTACTTAACAAATGCATTTCATTATTATGAAAATATGATATAGTAATAATCATTGGTATAACTAGGCAAAGACTAGCATGGCCTTGGTTCTCCTCAAAATATGGATTGAGCCAGTCTAAGTAGCTAATCAAATATCTAAATTAATAATTCTGAAATGTTCAGACTCTTAAATTTAAAAGTTTCTAAATAATACCTAATATGGAAAGACGAAATTATTAGTAAAGGGTTCTGGCTCATCCTAAACAAGAATTCTAGTCATGTCAGTGGTAATAATATTAGAATAATATATATTGTTTTGTAGTAACATCAAATCACTATGGAGGCCTGAATATGGTGCTTATATGCTAGAAGGAACACCAGGGAAACCATATGGTGGTCTATTAGTTCATTTTAATGTTGTTGAAGCAAATATGAAATATCGAAGACAAGAAGCTTCAAAGTTACTTCGACCCAATGAAGTTTTAATGTCTTTAACTAATTTTCCAAGGTAGATGAAGTATTTATTTATAAGTTAGACTGGTAAATATTTAGACCTCAAAGCCAAAATGTACTAAATCACACTTTCCAAACTTTAGAGGAAAGCAAATAAAAAATGTAAAATCTTTGGAATAAGAAAGATGAAGTTAATACACTGTGGCTATGGAGCCAAATATATATTGTTTAAAAAAATATGATAATTTTTTTTGTTTTATTACAGAACAGGGGCACCTGATTTTACAGATCCTCCTACAAAACCAACACCAGACTCTGGAGCATCAAAAAGTTTATTTTTCCCAGATGAGGCTATATATCCAGGTCATCCAAGGTTTAAAACGTTAACAAGAAACATAAGAAAACGGCGTGGAGAGAAAGTTGCTATAAACATTCCTAGTATGCATATTTCAGTATAAAATAATTTGGTATTTAAGATAAAACAAGTTGGTTGAAGTTAATATTGAGTGCTTGTTTGCAGTTTATAAAGATAAAAATGTACCAACTCCATTTAAAGAGAATTTTGATCCCTCTCTTAAAGATGATTCTATTAGTGCAGCAAAAGAAGATCATATTTACATGGATGCTATGGGTTTTGGAATGGGTTGTTGTTGCTTACAGTTGACTTTTCAAGCTTGTAACATCGAAGAAGCAAGAACATTGTATGACCAATTAACACCTTTATGTCCAATAATGGTTAGTACTATGTGAAAGAATTATTATATTTCTTTCAACTCTGAAGATATGGAGTTAGCATATTCTTTCGCGCATATATTACAGAACATTTGTTTAACATTCGACAGTTGGCTCTAACCGCTGCCAGTCCATTTTATCGAGGATATATAAGCGACGTTGATTGTCGGTGGAATGTGATATCTTGTTCCGTTGACTGTAGAACACAGGAAGAACGTGGTTTGAAGCCTTTGAAGGAAAACAAATTCAGAATTAGTAAATCTAGATATGATTCTATAGATTCGTATCTTAGTGAACAAGGGGAAAAATACAATGATGTTCCTTTAACATATGATGAAGAAATATACAAACAACTATTGGATAATGGAATTGATAAGTTACTTGCGCAACATATAGCTCATTTATTTATCAGAGATACTGTATCCCTCTTTTCTGAAAAGGTCTACCAAAATGATTTAGAAGATACTGATCACTTTGAAGTAAATATACTTATTATCAATAATTACTTTAGTTTTAAGAATAATACAATTTTGCAACATTATTACATAAATACAAAATATAACGTTTCAGAATATCCAATCAACTAATTGGCAAACAATGAGATTTAAACCACCGCCACCAAACTCATCTATAGGCTGGCGTGTTGAATTTCGTCCATGCGAAGTTCAAATCACAGATTTCGAAAATGCTGCCATAGTTTGTTTCATCGTCCTTCTTACAAGAGTAATTTTAAGCTATAAATTAAATCTTTTAATACCGATTAGTAAAGTTGATAAAAATATGGCTCGAGCTCAAAGAAGGAACGCAGTTATGGCAGAAAAATTTTGGTTTCGGCGAGACATTACCTCAGACATAAAACAGCAAGATGATGGTCAAGCAGAATATACAGAATTTACCGTTAATGAAATTATTAATGGGAAGGTAATATTGATATTTCGTCTATAAATTATATTATTCGATAAATGAATTGCAATACATTATTCCACTTTAGAATGGTGTCTTTCCTGGTCTAATACCGTTAGTGAATTCGTACTTAGCCAGTATGGATGTGGACGCTGATACTCATTGTACAGTACAAGCTTACATGAAATTAATACAAAAAAGAGCTGCTGGTGAATTGTTAACAACTGCCGCATGGTTAAGGAAAGAAGTTGTTTCACATCCAGAATACAAGTAAGTATTTCTTTAGCTTATATACATCAAATGTACTTTATGATCTGCTACATTGCTATCACTAACATTATATTGTATTGATATAGAAACGATTCCGTAATAACACAGCGTATCAATTATGATTTACTAAAGAAGGTACAAAAAGTCGTGTCGAATGAAATATCGTGCCCAGAATTACTAGGAACATGTATATCATCTAGAACCAATGAAACCATACCTGCAGCAGTTGCAAAAGCGGAGAATCTCCCATTATAAATGATGAACGGCAATACGCTTAAATAAATTACAAATAATTTAGATGAAATTTTAATTTATTTCAGTACATTTCAGATGTTATTGTACATACTTAACAACACTTAAAGTAAAATGTGTTTGTACTTAATGATTTAATAGTTTTATAAATAGTTACATTCCATAAAATAATTTTATTTCTAATGTATTAAATTATGAAGAAACTTGTATTTTGTACTTGGCTCCTAGAGCAATGTACGAAAATAAAACAGCTTCAAAATTCAACAGGAAATTTTACAGGTTAAACAAAAGTTTAATATTGTCGAAATTTGTTATCTGTTATTATATCCACTGTTTCATTGTGTTTGTATTCACGGATATCGTTACTGAATTTTATATTACAATATATGATTGTTTGTAATATAAATTGTAAACTTCTCTTTCAAACGATATGCATTTTTTTAATGTTGTCATTATAAATAGAGCTTAAAGCATAGATTTTGAGGATATTCATATATATATTAAAAAAAAGTAATAAAATACATATATTTATAAATATATATATATATATATATATATTTATTCCTTATACCTATTTCTACTTTTCTAGACGTGTTCTATATGAAATATAAGTATTCCATAGTAGAGCTACTGATTGTACTTTTAAAACTTGATATTGTAAAGGTATAAAATAGAAGTTAACTAGCTGAACTATAGGCCAAAGCTGAAAATAAATTTTGAGTATATAAATTTTTCATAAAACTTTTTCATCATGAATTTTACATCTTATAAACATTATTCTGTTACCTTATAATTATTCTTCAAAATATCAGGATATTCCTTTTTTAATTTATTTTGCAAATTTTCTAAATCATTCCCTTGTAACATACCAATTACTGATAATAAGACTCCTATGAATATAGGAGCAAAAAATAATTGATCACAACATACTTTTTTTAATACTACAACTCCTCCTTTTGAACCAATATATTTATCTAATATTCCATACCAAGTTCGAGTTGCAGGTCCCTATCATATAATTTAGTTATATAGTTAATATAGTTATAAACATTATTTAAATGTTTATAAAAATAAATATCATGCATGACATTAATTAGTTAGAATCTGTAAGTTTACTTACAGCAATAAAAAATCCTATACCACCAAACTGAGCAGTTCGTACAAAATCTAAATCTTTAAATTCTTTTCGTTCAACTAAATTTTGTGCAATCTGATCTCCAAGTGCCATTAATGTACCTATTATATTTAACAATACAAACAATTATCAACATAAATTACAACGATACAAAAATGAAATGATTTATATGTTATTACCGGCTTGCGTAGCTTGAGTAAGCAACGGATATTTTGTTAATAATTTTCGGTACATTTTGACAACATTCCACGTGTTTGAAGAAAGCACCATTATTATTAACTCATTTATAAATGATTACACTTTGGACATTACAGTATTGACGTTACATTTACCATCTACTTCTAACACAAAAAGCTGATGTCATAAGCTTGAAATCAGTAAATTTTTGGAACCGTTCACCGAATACACACGTGATACCTACGTTTTTGTTAGATGAGGTTACAAAGCGTTTGACATATGCACAAAACATGTATAGCTAACAATACAAAGCACGTGACCATTCGGTTTCATTCTAACAGAAATGTAAACTAGCTTGAGATCAAGGGAATTTATCACGGTGATATTATATCTCTATGTATCTGTCTCGGTCTTACAACGTGCTACAAATTGTGGCATCGCGTTTTGCAGATAAAGAGACATGCAGATAAATAAGAAGAAAAAAGATACATTCTCCATATATCTTCATCTTTTTTTGCACAGTAGTTTAAATTTTAGATAAGGCAAAAATCAATGACTTTATTCGATAAGAGAACAAATTCAGAAAAAACGAATTCTTGTTATCTTTATTACGAGAGGAAATAAGTCACTAGCTTCTTGTTATCTAGTTACTATATTCTCTAGCAGAACAGAGTATAGATGCGTTGAAACGTAGGGTAGAGATCAATGACAATATAACTGATAAATGATGAGAGGACCTATCACCGGCTTATTTCATTGTTTTTTCTTGTATTATAATTCATATATATTTGTTTACTATATGTATAATCATGAAGTGAGAAGCAGGTAGTAGGCGGTAGGTTGGTATCACACTAGCAGCATACTTTCCCTCCAAAGCCAACTATAAACCTTATTTTGATAACGTATCATCTTTTAACGTGGCCAAATTTTTTTACCTTGTATAAACAATAAGGTTCTTACATTTTTATGCACGAATGTTAAGTTTACTTACTGAATATTGGAGAAATGACCACGATAATAAAGAATAACCAACGGTGTCATAAGAACGAATGGATTTCGAAGATTTTACTTGGAACATTTTTTTTACTTATACTTTTAAGCTTACCGACCTTCTGTCAAGCCCATGGCGATGGTGAATTACCAAGTTTTAAATACTCCAAGGAGGCTAACAAAAAGTATGTGGACAATGAACATTTGACACATCATGACGAAATTCTACATCAGCATAAACATGAAAATCACAATCATGATCATGGAGACAAACCAGTTTTGTCTGATAAAGTATATAATGAATTGATTGTTAAAGCTACTATATCAACTTTAATCATATCAGCTGCACCGTTTCTCATATTGTTTTTTGTACCTTTAGACAACAGTAAAGAACGTGAATCACTGTTGAAAATGTTATTAAGTTTTGCATCGGGTGGCTTATTAGGCGATGCATTCTTGCATTTAATTCCTCATGCTTTAGTTCCTCATGCACATGAAGAAACTGCTTCACATACATCTCATCATGACAATGAAAAACATGATCATGGGCATGGTATGTCTGTTGGATTATGTGTATTATTAGGTGTAGTGATGTTTTTAATTGTTGAAAAAGCAGTGCGAATCATAAAAACTGATCACAGTCATTTACATGAATCTAAAGGAAATGTATCAAAAGAAAATAAAAATAATAATAAATCAAAGAAAGATTCTAAAGAAAAGAAACCTAAGAATGTTCAAAGTGAAATTAAAATTGCTGGCTATTTAAATCTAGTTGCCGATTTCTTACATAATTTCACAGATGGTCTGGCTATTGGAGCCAGTTATTTAGCTGGCAAAAATATTGGTTACATTACCACATTCACAATTTTAATACATGAAGTACCTCATGAAATAGGAGATTTTGCTATTTTAATACAAAGTGGTTATAGCAAAAGAAAAGTAAGATATTAAAATGATTAATAAATTATTTATTTAATAAATTAGATAATATAATTATTATTGCAGGCTATGATGCTTCAACTTACTACTGCGATAGGTGCTTTATTAGGAACTTATGTATCATTACTTGCAGAAGGCATGGGTAAGAATAAACTATTAAAATTCAGAATTCACATGTTTATTTATTGAATATTTAATTTAATCAAGACTTTCATTTGCAGGAGATGTTGCAACTAAGTGGATTCTTCCATTTACAGCTGGAGGATTTATTTATATTGCAACAGTTTCTGTAATACCAGAACTTTTAACTGATACTAATTTTAGGCAGTCTGTGAAAGAAATTATTTCATTACTATTGGGTGTGTTTATGATGGTAGCAATAGCGATGTATGAATAGATTTCTTTCATATCTTGTGTTCACATATTGTGACTATTGCTCCAACATTTTTTTTCCATTTTCATTAGTGAAAATTAATGAAAATCTGAATATATTGTATAACATGAATACCAGTGAAAAAATGATTAAATCTATTGCTAATATTAGTATAGCAAGAAAAATGTAAACAAATATGAAAAATCATCCAGATCCTTATTAGAGATCGTTTACATTATAAGAGAAAAGAGAAAAATTACAACTTCAACCAATTTAAAATCGTATAAAGTAATTTCGGAAAAATGTTATTATTGTTTATGAAAATACCACGTTGTAGTGAAAAATTATAAATGAATTAGCCTTATAAAAAGTAATACATATATAATGGAGTATTTCATATTCAGTATAATTGTTTTATCAGTAACATGCAAATCATAATAATTCTTTAGTAAATCATTCTGCATTCAATTACTTATGATAAGGTTTTTTATATAGATCGTTTTTCCAAATTATTTATGCTATAAAGTGATATATTTTTTACATTAAAATTCCTTAATTTTGTACGAATATTAATTCCCTTGATAAGCATGTAATTACTGTAAATGAAAATAAAAATCGTATGTTTTCTATATACGTGAAATGTATAATTTCGTACAACAAAAGCTGTTTTGAATTTTATTTAAATCACTATAGATTTTATTGCAATTATGTCTCTTGAGATTATATGTTACAATAAAAATTTCTTAATTTTACAGAAACAAATTTTAGAAAATTATAAAATAATTGTTATCTTTATTTAATTCAATATATATATTTACATATTACATTTACAGTATACGTACATATAAATACTAGTATTTATTTTTATTATTTTTCGTAGTTTAAATTATAATGTTTCAATACATACATAAAAATTGATACTATGATAGTAGATCTTGTATTTTTTTCAGACATTTTTCTGCTTCTATCATAGATTCATTATCGCTTCTAACTTTTGCCAATCTTTTTCCTTCTTTACAATTTTTTTTCGCTTCTTCATGCAGTCCCTTAATAATCAATGCATTTCCCAAATTGATATGAACAGAGCTTAAATAATCCATATCTGGAAACTTTTTTCCTACAAAGGTAACAAATGAGTTTGACACAATGTGAAGCTGACAACATAATCTACATTTTCATTGATATTACCTAATACCGCTGCTTTAGATAAATATTCAATAGCTTCATCATATTCTTGTAACATAAATTTAACACTTCCTATGTTACTCAGCAACATAACAGTCTCTTCATGTTCTTCACCATTTATTTTTTTGCATATGTTGTAAGCTTGAGTAAAATATTTAAGAGCTTCTGTATAATGTGACTGTGAGAAAAGCATAGATCCAAACAATTCTAAACTTATACTTAATAATTGCAATGCATCTTGGTTTTCACTGTTTTCGCTTAAGTGATTTTTTAAGCGGTCAAAACAAAATCTGTAACCTTTCTCTGCTTTTCTGTGTTCATAAAACAAATTGTAAAATAAAGAAAAGGTAAGAGAAAACTTATACTTTTTTTATCAAGGATTGCTTACTCTAAGTCTCCTCTTTTGCTGTATATATCAGCAATTTTAAGACTAATATGAATGATTGCTAAATCATGCTCTGGAACTCCTTTAGACATTAATCTTTGTAAAACTGATACAAACAATTTTTCTGCTTTATCCAAATTGTTTGTGTCATATGCTAAATTTGCCATTACATCATACACATAAGTTATACCATCGTAATGTTGTAAAGTTTGGGCTTGCATTAAAGCAACATGCAACATTTGCTCTGCTTTTTCAAATTCTTGTTTCTACAAGAGTAAAATGAACATCAGTCTTATTTATAAACTAAGCTAAACTAATACATTTCATTGTCTAACCTGAATTAATAAAATTGATCGTTTGATCGTCATTTTTAACTCTTCAACGTCGTCTTTCTCTTCCTCGGACATAAATAATTTGAATAAAAAATTGCTTGATAGAATAAAAAAATTAAATTGCAATACATTCTTAGTATTGTAATTACTATAACTTCTTGTTTTATTAATTTGAGGTAAATATGATGTAAATATGTTTTTTCTTAAATTTAATAAACAAATATTTGCAGCGAAATAATTCGATTTTATACGAGTTTGGGCATATCTAAATGTATTTATAAGTATCTTTCGACAATACATGGTATTAAAGTTTTAATTTTTTATTACAATGTTACAATAATAAAATTAAACACTTTTAAACATATAATTTCTTTTTAGTCATGTATTTAAATTGTAGGTATGTATAATTGTACACTTAACCTACAATGATATTATAATAATGACTCTAGTACAAATCCCTTTCTAGGGAAAATAGTGGTCAAAGGAAACAGCCTCCCCCGCTCGGTACAAAACTGAAGCAAAGAGTAGGTGTAACAAGAGGCGAGACTAGACAAGGAAACCCATCTCCTAGAGGGAGACAGATGACATAACCAATTTAATAGAATTTAATGGAAAAAGATACACATGGCGCCGTCCAGTGGCAGTGTCGAGAATTAATGAAACGATAGTTTCAAAAACGTGTAGTTCACCCTGTTCGCCGGAGAGATGGCGCCAAGTTCCGTTTTCGTTGATGACGTCATTTTTTAAAAAACCGCGCGCAAATAAAATATGAAACCATGTGTCAAAACAGTCCGTACACTATACTGAGTGAGTCCCTTCGATAATAAGTAATTAAAAAAAATGACATAAAAATAATTTTGAATACAATAATTCGTAGATAATTTACAAGATATTCGCGCGAGAATGGTATAAAAATAATGAATTACAATAATTAATTTATATAATAACGAGTTACAATAAAATATATCGTAATATATTAATTAACAATCATTTTGCAGCATATCTGCAAGAGTAAGTTAAAAAAAAATAATAAATTTAAATAATTACAACAATAAATTTGTTAATAAACTACCAAAAAATATAGAATTATAAAAAACTTGACGTTAGAATAATTATACAGCAACCAATGAGAGTGGCTGCACGCTATTGGTGGATTACATGATGTCTGATTGGTTACTGTACATTACCAATCACTCTTGCACTTCGATTTGATCTATTGGTCGATTACGTGATGTCTAATTGGCTACTGTAAACTACCAATCGCACTTACACTTGAAGAGGTCGCGCTACTCAGTTTTGTTTTGCAAGTCGAGGAGGTCGGATCGGCCCTGTCAACACTTACCGGTACGAGTACTTTATGCAATGATTATTGAAGTGTGTTGGCATATTGTTACTGGTGCTTTAGTGTACTTTATGCAATGATTATTTAAGTGATTTGACATATTGTTACTGGTGTTTTAGTGTACTTTATGCAATGATTATTGAAGTGTGTTGGCATATTGTTACTGGTGCTTTAGTGTACTTTATGCAATGATTATTTAAGTGATTTGACATATTGTTACTGGTGTTTTAGTGTACTTTATGCAATGATTATTGAAGTGTGTTGGCATATTGTTACTGGTGCTTTAGTGTACTTTATGCAATGATTATTTAAGTGATTTGACATATTGTTACTGGTGTTTTAGTGTACTTTATGCAATGATTATTGAAGTGTGTTGGCATATTGTTACTGGTGCTTTAGTGTACTTTATGCAATGATTATTTAAGTGATTTGACATATTGTTACTGGTGTTTTAGTGTACTTTATGCAATGATTATTGAAGTGTGTTGGCATATTGTTACTGGTGCTTTAGTGTACTTTATGCAATGATTATTTAAGTGATTTGACATATTGTTACTGGTGTTTTAGTGTACTTTATGCAATGATTATTAAAGTGTATTGGCACATTGTTACTGGTGCTTTAGTGTACTTTATGCAATGATTATTTAAGTGATTTGACATATTGTTACTGGTGCTTTAGTGTACTTTATGCAATGATTATTTAAGTGATTTGACATATTGTTACTGGTGCTTTAGTGTACTTTATGCAATGATTATTTAAGTGATTTGACATATTGTTACTGGTGCTTTAGTGTACTTTATGCAATGATTATTTAAGTGATTTGACATATTGTTACTGGTGTTTTAGTGTACTTTATGCAATGATTATTGAAGTGTGTTGGCATATTGTTACTGGTGCTTTAGTGTACTTTATGCAATGATCGTGTTGTAGTGTACTTTATGTAGTGGTTATTTAAATGTTTTGACAAACTGTTACTGGTGTTTAACTGTAGTTGCCTATGTGTTTGGTTATATTTTTGCAAATGTTTACCATGCTCTCTAAAGTAATTACCCAAGTGTTTTGACATGCATTTTCGAATATTTTACAATATTTCACGATGTTACACGTATTGACAAACGTTTGCAAATTTATAACTGAACGTAGTTATTGTACTCATTTCTGCATGTCAATCAAAATGCAAATTGATAAACACAGTTAATTAATCGTTGTGTTCCTGTTATGATTACAGAAGGCCACAACCAACTTCACGGACAAACCGCCAAATCTAAATCTGACGAAAGCAGCCAATCAATCAATCAAGCAGCCAAGCAGCCAATCAACCAAGCAGTCAGTCAATCAGATGAGCCACTTCTCAGATGCTTTACCAGTAAAACGATCGCAGTGATGCAAGTCAGCGATCGGTGAGTCGCATGCTTTACGGTTCCTCCGGTTCCCATCATGTCGTAGGACGAATGGTCCGAAGCGACACGGGAACTGGTTGTATTTTTTATTTTTGAGCGAGCATAGTGACCACGACTGTACGATCGTGCAAAATTCGTACAAACTGTTTATTATATTTATTAGATCAGGTTAGGGTTTTCTTGTACATCGCGTTTTAACTTAACTTCTTTACGAATCAAATTAAAATTAGTACATTGAAGTCGGATGACCCTCCGATTTCGTGCTAGTTTAATTTTAGAGTCACTTTCAATTGTATCGCGAACTCTTTTTAAATACACATATGTACAAGAAAGTTTCGCGGAAAACAGATTTTGATATCAAAGTTAATTATGAATGCTTTTGATCATTTAGTAAATTTACTTTGATATTAAAAATCTGTTAAAAATGAAACAATCGTATACTTAGATTTTTGCAAAGTGATCTTCCATTTTCCATTTTGAACATTTTTTAAAGTTAGAGTCAATTTTTGCTGGAAGACACTTTATTAGCATGTTTTTAATAAAATTTTTTAGCTCAGGATTTTCAGCACACATGAAGAAAACTGGTAGGTCAAAATACATGTGGCCGTGTTCATTTTTATGCTCTAACTCATGCGCGTGCTTAGATGCTACTCGCATGGGTTAGGGCAGGTGGACACGGTTTAGTTTTAAGATGTTTTGGCGATCGACAAATTGACAGTGAATTATCGACACAAGTTACACGTGTGTGTGTGGTTAGGTCGTGGACCTTGTGTCGATTAAACTATAGATTCATTTTTTAAATTTTACAAAATTCTATTTGAAAATGCATACAAAATGCAAGTCGAGTCATTTGAAAATGATATAAAGTGAATAAGTTAGAAAATTGTATGAGTAGTTTAAATTATTACATGTACATATTACATTGAATATTCGAAAGAGTATGAAAATGAAATATGTTAAGTTCACTGTCGATTGTCGATCGATTTCAGCAAAAAGGTATGAACTTAGAGTGTGAATGTAGTATTGAACTCGGGTGTCGGAGACGTCCCGGGACGTACTCCCTAGGATTAGGCTTTTTTGCACCCGGGTGGTATGTGTGAGAACCGTGGAGTGTGTTTTTGTGAGAATGGACTTTGCAATTTTTTAAATATAGCGATAGGCAGGCAGGTAGCTTACTTCTGGTGTGAATGAGTTAGTTTTAAGTAGGTAGGGCCAGAGCAAGCTTTCACGTTTCTCTGTCCTCCTC